GGTTTTTTTTTTTTTGGTTTTTGGGAAAATTTCCTGGAAAAAAGGAAACTTTTTTTTTTTTTTTTTTTTTTTTTTTTTTTTTTTTTTGGTTCATTTAGGGGCCAAAATAAAAATCGATAATTATTTTTATCATTTTAAATTCTTTTTTATGAAAAAAAAATAATTCTAATCGATCAAACAACAAACGAATCGTTTTGAAATTCTATGGAAAAATTCAGATATGAAATTTTTTTTTCATTTCCAAAAAAAATGTTTGAATGAACACCAAAAATTAGGATGAAAAAAATAGCCAGACAAACAAAAAAAAAATGACAAAATTGGTAATTTGAGTAGAAAGAAAAATGTTGATTGTAAATTCTTTGTTGATCGATTTTTTTCCCCAATTTTTCTTTAATGAACCACCATCACCATCAACAAGAGAAAAAAATGTTTCTCGACCCTAAAATCGATGTTCTTTTTTTGTTTGTTTGATGATCAAAATTATTAATTAATTAATTGTAAATTTTTCCCGAGAAGGAGGGAATGTAGTTAAACCAATTTCACTTGAATTGCCAATCGAATTCAATTTGTGATAAATGATGTTTGACTTTTTTTTTCATTTGGCTACTAAAGCTTTAGTTGTTGTTCCAATGTTGTTTGGTCGATCGGTTGGTATGTCAACCAATACATAGAATAAAGAATTTTCATTTTCTTTTCACCAATCAAAAAGGAATATAATGTTCTGATTGGTTTCCAAAGAATAAACAAAAACAAAAACAAAAAAATTCTTTTTCCTTTTATTCATTTTGACATTATGGATCGATATCGAATCAAATCAAATTGAAATGTTTTTGTATGTGTGTGTGTGTGTGTTTATGTTATGTAATGTTGATACGACAAAGAAGAATTACACAACAACAACAACAGCAACAACAACAAAATGTCAAATGTTTATTATTGAGGTGTTAAGTATTACGATCAAATTGTCCAAAATAATAATAATAATAAGGAAAAAAATCCAGATTGTCGTTCATATGTTCGTGTGTAAATGACAGGGCGATTTGATAAAATACAACCAAACAACCAAACAAACAAACGAAAAAAAGCTAATTCAATTTGTCATCATCATCATTATCATCAATGATTTTTAATGTCATTTTTTTTGTATAATCAATTTCATTTCAATCGATGTTGTTATTTTTTGTTGGTTGACATATTTTTCGATGTTGTCGTTGTTGTTGTTGGTCAACAAAGTGAGAAAAATTCCGGGAAAATTAATGAATTTCGATTGATACGTTATTTTTTCTTTAAAGATTTTGTTTGGTTTTGAATGGATTTTTATTTTTCGGAGAAAATTCATTGAAACGGTAAATGAGAAATAAATTTCCTATCAAACTGAACTGAATCAGAAAGAAAAACAAAACAAAATCAGACAGCGGAAATGAGAAAATGTGAAGAAAATTCCCGGAAATTTTTCTCTCTTTTTAATCTTTTTGTTTTTGTTTTCTATCAATTCAATGAATAGAAATCATCAATGATTTTCATCAAGTAAACATATACTTGATAAACACCGAATGTCATATATCTGACTAGTCAATCGGATTTTTTTTTCCTTTTTTTTGTAGTACAGGAAATTGATTCTTTCTTCATTAGAAATGATAAGGATGGTGATGATAAACTTGTGTTTGATCTATGACAATAACAACAATTCAATGATGAATCATTTTTATCTGACATAAAACAAAAGTAAATTATCATCATTTTTTTTCGAAAAATTTCTTGTTTGAAAAAAACAATTTCCAGAAAGTTTTTTCATTTGATTCAATTTGTGATTACCGGTAAAAGATGAAGATGATGGTAAAAATCAATAAGAAAAAAAACGAAGAGAATTTGAAAAATATTTGTTCAAATCCTTTGCGAATTGTTGATATTTATATTTTCAATTCTAATTTGTTTTCAGTCACATGGTGAATGAATATTTTCTGCTTTTTCTCTCGATCATCATCATATTCCACAAAAAAAATGATAATAATGGATATGAATGTTTTATGTTTTCCCAATCGGGTTCTGGTTTTTTTTCCTATCCTTTCGTTGGTGATAGATTGTTTGTTTGTTTGTTTGTATTTCTTTCCTTTGATCTGATCATTTTCAAAAGTAAACGAATAAATTTATTGAATTGTCGAATGGATTTGCTCGTTTCTTTTTATTTTCCCCAAATTTTTTCCAATATTGTCGATCATTTCATGCTTAGGAATAACTTTGAAGAAAAAACAAGGGGCCCATAAGATGAAAAAAAAGTTTGAAAGAATTTAATAAAGTTTTTTACTCGTTGTCGTCATCGTCATATAATTCCATATGATGTGTTTATCGAATGAAACAGACAAAATTCAAGGGTTGTTGAATTTTCTTCTTTTTTTTTGTTGTTCTCCAACAAAGAATTGAGAATCGTCTGTCGAGAATTTGCTGCAATGTGATGATGATGATGTTAATAACCGATCATCGACGACGACAAAGATGACGATATTGTTAAGCTTAGTGCTTTTTTTCCTCTGTTTGTTTGTTTTATTCAAGCAAAAAAAAATTTGATTTCAAACTTAAAAATTGATTCTTTGTCGTCGTCGTCGATGTTTGGTGACATATTTTTTTCTAATCGGCATTTTTTTCTGATAATTTTATTTCTGGCAATTTTTTTACGCGTGATTGTGTTTTACTGAAAAAGATTGCCAGAATTTTTTTTTATAAAAGATGATGATAATCTTGTGAAAACAGATGAGATAAGGAGTTTAAGAAACAAATTTTGTTTCCTCATTTTTTTTTTGATTAATTTGATTTTTGTTGAATCAAAATCGTGATCAATTTTTTTTTCTTCTGAAAATATTATTAAATCTCGCAAATTTCAATGATGTGTTGGCGCTTGATTGGGTGCAATGAAACTGGAAACACAGCAAACACTCAGACAATGTAAAGGTATTTTGTGATTCCAGAAAAGATTTCAGAAAAACTCCTGAATTCTGTATTTGACATCTGACGTTTGTTTTTTTGTTTTTCGAAATTCAATAATGATCAATTTATGGATTTTGGATTATTTAAAAAAAAAAATAAAAAGCAAAACAAAAAAATTGAAATTGAAAATATAATCCATACTGTTTTTGTATAGTGAATGAAATTGTACTGAGAAAACGAGAAATCACTTGACTTTTGTCCGAAACAAACATTTTCGAGGTAAAAAAAATTGAAAATTTTTAATGGTTATAAACGATTGTTTATTACGGTTATTGTTGTTGCTGATGAAGATTTTGTTGTTGTTTTTTTTGAATGTTTCAACAAATTCTAGTCTGTACTGTTTTTTTAATGATTATTTTACCATTTGTAAATCCAGAAGTTTTAAAATTTCAATTTAAAATTCATTTTTTTCCCTTGAAAAACATAAAATTTTTTCCGTTGTTGGTGCCCGTTTGTTTTTTTTTATTTCAGGGGAAGTAGACGAATGAAATGAAGTAAAAAAAACCAATAACGATAAGATCGATTTGCAATAAATAATGTTTATGTTTGTGTTTGTGGATGATCGTGGCTGAAAGGCCAACCCTCAATAACCGAAATCGGGATTCCACCTTATTTAAAATGGTAAACAATGTGAAAATTGATTTTTGATTTGCCCAGATATTTATATATTATTTTTCATTTCATTCATATGATGATGATTGCTTGGTGCGTGATTTTTTCTCTCATTTTGAAAATGTTTGAATAGCAATTTGTAATGGGGGGAAACAATAATGGTAGACTTTGATTTTTTTATTGTCGTGGATGATGTGATGTGTGTGTGTGTGGCAACCAATAAAATTCAAAATTGTTTTCAGTCTGTTCCATTATCTCCCCCTCCATTTGCTCAATATCACTATTGATTTTCATATATGATAAACATCATCATTTGAAAATATTCAAATAAAACAACCAAAAATAAAGAAAATAAAAATTTTTATTTTGTTTGTTTTTATTCCAAGAAATTATTCTTAACAGTGCACACAAAACATTAAAAATCTTTACAGAATTTCATTTTGGAAATATTTTTTGGTAATAATAATTTTGGAACATTTTTCCCAAAGTGACTCGTAATCGTTGTTTGAAATGAAATTTTGCAACAACAAAACCAAAAAACTTTAATTTAAATTTGATCATCAATCAATTGTTGTTGTTGTTATTCTGTTTATGTCGTTTTTTTTGAAAATGAAAACCAAAATCAATTAAATAAATACGAAAAATGTTGGCTTCACCGTCGAAATTCAATATTTTTGTTCAGGTTAGAAAATGAAATGAAATGAAATGAATGAATGGAAAAATTTAATGTTTTTTTTTCGTTTTTCTCATTAAGTCATCAATAGCCATTCATTTTGGCCACAATATCAAAATGAATTTATCTGAATGAATGTTTTATATTCAACAAAAACAGCAGAAAAAATTGATTATATTAAGAATAAACGGAAATGATTAACGGAAATAGCTGGCTATGTATCATTCAATGAATCATATTTTTTTCGCCATTTTGCTTCTGAATTTCATCATATTTATAAAGGGAAAAAAGGGAACGATGAGAGAAAAAAAAATCGCAAAGGAAACCTAATATAATCTTACTAAATAATAATAATCATTATCATTTTTTATCGTTGACAACAATTGTCAAGTGTTATTATTATTATTATACCTAAAAAAAAGTTGAAAATGAAAAGTTTAATTTGATTCAATTATTTTTGCTCGGTTACATCGTAGAATGTATGAGAGAAAAAAACTTACTTGAAACAAATTACTTGAATGAAACAGAACTTTTTTTTTCTCTTAAAAGAATCGTTTACTCAATTCTATCATCCATATCTATTCAACATTTCTCAACATTTGTTGCTACATTTGGGTTGTTTTTTTTCTTCCTGGCCATTTAACTTGTCGTCATCATTATTATTATCATCATCGTTTTGAAGCCTGAAGCCTATTGATGTTTGAATTTTCAAATTCCCAATTCTTTGTCATGATCGTATTCAACTTTTTTTCTTTCTACCATTCACAATATGTATTGAACATTTATTTTCTTTATACAATTTCATAAATAATAAATTGAATGCGATTTTTTTTTTGGAAATGAAACACAAAAACAGAACCTTTTTTCTTTTCAGTCATTGTTTGTTTGTTGTTTAGCGTTTGTTTTTTTTCTGAAAATAATGAAAAACAACAACGATATTTTTTCGGTTTTTGTTTTGTTTGTTTTTTAATGAAATTCTTTCGAAAGAATATTTTCCATTTGACTGATGATGATGATTATCGTTTGTGTGGTGGTTTACCTCTTTGGATTTTTGTTTTGTGAAAAGAACCAGACACACAATACGCAATCATTAATTTATGGTTGCTGTTGCTGTTGTAAAGAATATTCTTTGCCGGAATGGAAAACAAAAATCCAAAAAAGAGCGTTTTTCTGTTGCGTTTTTAAAAATTTTTCAAGAATAATTTAATTGATTAATTATCACTGTTTTTTTCTGTTTTATCCCATTATCCCGGTTTTTCCTCTTCAAATTCTCTAGTGATTATGATTTTGAAATGAATTATACTGAAAGTGTATTACGTTTTAAACCACAATGGATACAGGATCAAAAACGTTTAATTTGTTTATCATATAATCCAATAATTATTGATAATAATTTAAAATTACAATCATTAATCGATTATTTTAATGTAACTAAAATTGAAACATCAAAACAGCAACATGATGATGATAATGAACTACCATTATCATGGGATTCAATCATATTGGATATTAAATGTAAGTAATAATAATTTTAAAAGTAAAGAATAATTACAAAATCAGGATTAACCAATGTTTCATTACAAAAAAAAAAATCTTTGTCAAGAATAATATTGATGATGATGGTAATATTCTGTTTGGAGTAAAAAAAGAAAAGTAATTTTTGATTTTCGTGCGTTTTTTTCAGGCTCAGAAAGCAAATCAAGAATCAGTGAAATCAGTTTTTAAGGAAAAATTCAAAAGTTTATTTAAATATTTTTTGTTTTGATTCACCAATTCGTTTTCTGAATATATTCATGTCATTATTTTTCGAGCTAATTGCATAGTTTTTTTTCATTAGTTAGTTTTGTGTGTGTATAACGTTGATAAAAAGTAATGAATGAAAAAACAATGAAAAAGATCAGTGAACTGAAACATTGTATTGTATTGTTGTTGTTTGATTTCATTCAACAAACAGAAATTGCAAATGAAAAAAAAACTTTAATCTTTTTTTTACATTCCATTTGTTTTTTGAATGTTTAAAACGAGATGATAATGATGTTTGTTTCTTATTCTTGAGGAAATGAAACTTTTAAATATTTCTTTCTTTTCTTTCTTTTTTTAAAAAAATTAACAATGGAAATGAAATTTATGATTATTTGATTGGCATGTGAATTACGTTCTTGCGTTTATTTCAAAGAGTTTTTTTTCTATTTTGACAAAGAAGCCAGAAGATTTTGAATGCTGGAAAAAAAAATCAATAATTTTTCTTGATTGTTTCAAATTGAAATGTCTTCATTTCAAATGAATGAAAGCCACACATATGAATTGATTTTTGTTGCTAATTTCTAATGAAATTTTTTGGCTCCCATAATGATATTTAGATACACCAAAACTTAAATTGTTGGCAAAAATTGAACAACAACAGCAACAGCCATCTTTAATGAATAATGAAAATAAATCAATGAATGATGAAATGATTAAACAAATTATTATTGCCGATCAAATAATGTCAGGTCAATCATCATCATCAACGATAATAAACCGACAGATTAATCAGCTACATATAATGGAAGGAGAAAATATTACAATGGATTGTCTTTATCGTGCTAAACCGAATGCAACCGTAATACGTTGGTCACATAATCATGATGAAATATGGCAGGAAAAATCTGGTTTGTTTGTTTTTAGTAGCAGTAGTTTTGATTGATTGATTGATTGATTATATGATAAAAAATTTATTTGAATATGCTATAGGAATCGATATTGAACGTAATCGATTACGTATTATTAATGCAAAAACTAAAATTCATGATGGTCTTTATCGTTGTATTGTATTCAATTCAGAAGGACGTGGTCTTAGTAATGAGATTAAGATTTTTGTTGATTGTAAGTATTATTATTATTATTATCATATAGCAACAACAACAAAAAAGTCATTTTAATGAATGAATGTTGAAGATAAAAATGGAAAGCAAACATTGTGTGTGTGTGCGTCAATTACGGAACCCATCATCATCATCATCATCATCTTTGTCGTTGTCGTGATGAAAATTTAAATTTTTTTTCACTCTAACAACAAAAAAAAACTTTATCGCAACTTTGTTTGCAGCGAAAAAAATGACTTAAATTAGAATTTTTCTAGAAAGAATCTGATGATGATGATTATAATGACATCGTAGATGCTTTAACAGAAAAATTTTACAAAATTTGAATTTTCTTTTCTAGAAAAAAAAAATGTAAAATTTAAAAACAAATTGCCTAATCGACCTTTGATAACGATGAAAATTAAGATATGTTTATACAATGCATTTATTTTGTTCCGATTCATCGTATAAACCGGACAGGAAAAAAAATGAAATGAAAAATGATTCGGCGATTTTTTTTTTTGATGATCCAGAAAAGTTAAATTTTTACTTTCAACTTAAATGAGAACGTGACTTGTTTAATCGATTATGGATATATCAATTCTTTTTTTTTCTTGGTGCGTGGGTGTTGATTTCGAAAAATAAATGTTTTCTTTTTTTTCACTTTCCAAACCAAAAAAAGATGTGTTTGATCATCAATCAAACATCAATGATAATTATTGGTTGTTTTTTTTTGGGAAAAATTTATCAACTTTTTTCTGAGGCACTGAACAAAATAACAACAAAAAAAATATTCAGTTCATTAATATTGGTCAAAAATTTGGAAGATAATCTTCAGTTTCTCTGTTCTTCATTATACAATCTATAATCCTTGGAAACTTCCCGGCAAAAAAAAAAATTTCCAAAAAATTATTCTGATTTCCCCTTTTTTTTCATTGCAAAACAACAGGGTCATTCATTTAAAGTTTTTTTCTTTGACTAAATTTTTTTTACAAATTTCATATGAATTTAAATTTTATTTCTGCACCAACAAAAAAAAAATCGAAATGATAATAATTTTTGGAAAGCAAGAGCAAGGGAAAAGCTGAAAAAAAGTTAACAAAACGATAAGAAGTTAATTTATTATTCATCATTTGTCTTATGGTTTTCTTTTTCTACAAAACTAATATAATAATATAGAATCTTTCAAATAAGCATCATTGTAATGAAATAGTCATACACTAATGATGTTTTCACACGAAATGAACGAAAAACATTTGACAATTCAAATGGAAAGAAAAAGAGGCAAAGTAAAAAAAGAAACACTTAGCATTTCTGTCGAAATCGATGATTTTTATTCGAGTTTTTTTTAACTTGGAAATTTTTTTACTTAAAAACGATTATTCTCTCTCTCAAAAGTCTCCATTATATATTCCTACGACTGGTGGTGGTTGACAAGAAGATCGAAAAAAATCGATCAATAAAGAAAATAATTTTAAAGAATTTTCTTCTTCTTTTTTAAATTTTTTTTCTTTTACTAAACTTATAGATGTACCACGTTGTTCATTGATTGATGATTCATTATCGATGACAAATAATAAGAATGGATCAATGATGAAACAACAACAACAACAACAATCAATTATTATTCGTCATGTTCAACGAGGTCAAGCATTAAATCTATCATGTCCAATTGATATATCATCATTGATAATGATTGATCATTATCAATTGAATAGCAATAATAATAATAATTTCGATCAATCAATTAATGATGAATTTGAATTTGTATGGAGTTTAAATGGTGAACAACAACCGCAACAACAGCAAAGTGAACCAAATTTTATACGTTCCAATGTTAATCACATTGAATATCGTTCAATATCAATGCCATTGAATGTTAAAAATTTTTCAATAAAAAATAAAGATCAACAACAACAACAACAACAACAACAGATAATATTAGTGAATAATGCAGTGTTGGTGATAAAAAATGATACAAAAATTTTCAATAATAATAATAATAATAATATTGGCCATATTCAATGTTGGTTACGTAATAAAAAAAATCATTCAACATTATTTCCATTTAAACGTAATTCAATGCCATGTGAATATGAAATTCATTTATCATCATCAACATTATCATTACAACAACAACATCATCATCAACAAAATAGTGATAATTCAATGTCATTTACATCATTATTATCCAATGATGATGATGATGATGAATTGATTGAAAATCGAAATGAATTTCAATCAACAAATCATCATTGTCAAATATCGAACCAAGCAAATCATAATGATCATCAAAAAGCACGATCAATAATGATGATGATGATCAGGATTGATTGTCAAATTCTTGGTAAGTAAAAGCAATCTTTCTTTCTTTTTGTTTTCTTTTCACCATTCTTACACCGGAAGAATTGAACAAATATTTTCAGAAAATTTCTTACAAAAAAACATGTTTTTTCATTTTTTTTCCAGAATTTTTTTTTTTTTTTTGTTCGTATTAATTCACATTGATCAAACAAATAATAATATTTGACAATTACAGTATATATGTTTGCGGTGATTGTATTTGTATCAATCAATTTTTTTTCATTAATTTGTAAATATTGACTTAAGACTATCGCATTATATTTGTTTGTTTTTCAGTTTAAAAAAAAAATTGCTGAAAATCAATCTAAAATTCTGAACACAAAACACAATGAATGAATGAATGTTGATAATTGTTTGATCTTAGATCAAAAAAAAAAAAAAAATTTCTGAAACTTTCTTTCAGTTTCGATTGATTATTTTATTATATTTCTTTTGTTGGAAATCCATTTATTTATTATTTTTTTTTTGTTTCGAAAACTTTTAAACTCAGATTTTTAGATTTTATTTTATTTTTTTTGTTTAGTTTTATATTATTATTTAAATTATATATCTTATTAGAAGTATGTAATGTGGATCTTGAATAGAGATATTACCATTCACAAAAAGGTCTTATTAAAAGTATTTTTTCATCTTGTATTTTATAAAAATCTTGCACAGGTGACAAGTTGTCTAAATAGACAAACTTGCATTCAAATGTTTTTTTTTCAAAAACATGAAAGGAAAATACTTTCGCTTCTGTCCTTTCGTAGATGGAACCTTGAACCACCAGATTCTCATTCATTTTCCAGAATGTGGTAGCTTCTTTCCACAATAAGGGGAGTTGTTCGATATTCGTTTGATTATTTTTTTCTCAGTTTCATAAATATTTTTATTGATCTTGATTGCATGTGATGGAATGAAATCCATTATTTTGGTCTTTTCACCTGAAATGATAAAATGATTCGATAAATGCCATATTTTTTTTATTAATGATGGCCTGATGATATTGGTGACGCAGAGCCAACGATGATGATGGATTTTGATGACTCGACATTAGGCAGGACCATTTTTTGAAAAATTGGTGCTTACGTTCAAAGGGTAGTGTGGAATATTTGATCAATGGACCAAAATATTTTATTGTAATAAAACCAACAAAAATAGTTAGAATTAGTGTGATTTATTAAAAGTTAAACAATCGAATATCACAAAATATATGCAAAATAACTGTGAAAATACCGACATTTATATACAAAAAAGTTACATAAAAATATTCTAAAATTCGACAAAAAACTATAGTTCGAAAAACGAACTAAAGTTTGTTTCGTCACATTTTGGATATTGGCTGATGTGGTGCATTTTCGGTGTTATTTTTGATGATGGGAAGTGTAAACATAAACAGACAGATTGAACAGAAACGAACGGAATTGAGGTTTGAAAAACACTAATTTTATTTCATCAAAAGCACGTGTTTTTATAGCATATTAATGGAAATGTTTGAAAATGAACAGTAAAGATATTAAAATAAAAAAAAACTAAGTTCGAAATTCGAACAGTTTGAGAGTGTAATCTAACAGGGAGATTTCCTTGATTAGTTCAAAAAGAATTTCAATGCTTTCCATCAGACATTGAATTTCTTCGAAATTGATTGATAATTGAAACGCTATGATACGAATCTTTTCAAATTGTTTATTTCTGAAATGAAAGAAAAAGAAATAAACAATGTTAAAATGAAAATAATGGACAATAGAATCGAACACTCGATAAATAATATGTATTTCAATATAAATATGTGAGTGTTTTTGTAACATGTAAAATACATTTGCATTCATCATCAGGGAGTATTAGTGTTCGTCGTCTCACCTTTTCTATTACAAAATTGAAATTTCTTTTTCTTTTTTTGTCAAACAAATTCAACGTCAACAACAATACAGACGATGTTGATGATGATAAGACTAGTTTATCATTATTTTCGTAACAGAAAAAAAACCCGAAACATTTTTACCATTTCGAATATAAAGATGTTTGTTTTGGTTCGTATATCAAAAATGAGTGCGAATTGAAAGAATTCGAATGTTCGAAATCGATTGTTCATCATACACTCACTATCGATATATTCGATACATTCGAACAGAATTTACCATTTTTTTGTTTGTTTGTTCGGTTTGATTTGGTTACTTTTATTTTTTTTTTTTTGAAAATCATCATCATTGATTTATCGCAGATTTTATCATCATTCATTCATTCAATATTTCACCACATTCATGTGGTAGTAAATAATTCTTGAATTTTCATTTTGTTTGTCTGTTTGCTTTTCTTTTCTTTGTTTGTTTGTTATACCCAGTTGATTCAGATGATCAAGATTTCAAGATTTCCATTTTTTTTTGGTTTTGTTTTGTTTTCTTATTCGGTCTCTCACGATATCTCTGTAGTTTTTTTCCATCACTCGTTGTCATCCGTTTGGTTTCATGCAGTCATTTCAAATTGAATGAATGGAATTTTAGCAACAAAAAATATCGTGTGTGATACATTAGCCGAATATTTATTTATTTTGTCGTTTTGGTTTGATCGTGATGAATTTTTTGAAGCGAAATAAGAGTGGAAAAAAATTTGGAATGGAAACTTTTTTTTTCTGTTCCAAAATTTTTGCCACAACAATTTTTTTTATTATTTGTGTCACACCGAACCAAGTGAAAGATGAAAGAAGTCGAAAACAACTCGACAAATCCATCCTCGTTGTTGTCTCTTCATCACTTATTTTATCATCATCAACATCTTTGGTATACTGATTTTCGCAACAATGATTTTCTTCATCAAACATTCAAACGAATCTAATGATCTATAGTGGTAGTAGGCAAGCAAAAAAAAAACAACGTTGCTTAATGCAATAATCATTTGAAGTAAGACAAAAAAAAATTGTAACTTTTCTTTCAAGGAAAAGAATGAAAGAAACAGAATAATCACAAATTGAAAGAAATCAAAAACAATGAATGAATGAATGAATGAAATGAAATGAAAAAGAAAGAAGCCATGAAAAGATTTCAATGTAAAACAAGAATCTTCATTCTAATCAAATCGAATTCGAAATGAATTAGGCTATAATAATTATATTTTGTTTTTTTGACCAGGAACATAGAAAAACCTAAAGTCACATTGAATCTGTTTTTCTTTCTTCCTTGTTCGACAAAAGTATTTCGAATGATTATTTTCTTTCTTATATGAGAAAAAAACAAATTTTCGATTAATCAATGGAAAGAAACCTTAGCAAAAAAAACGAATGAATGTTCTATATTTGAAATTCTGATTTTCATTTTTGTTTGTTTCTTTTTCATTGAAAATATTTTTCGTATGAAAAAAATCGAACGAAAAAAAGTGGTTAATTTTCTTGAAAATTTCTTTAAAATTTATAGATCCTAAAGGAAAAAAACCTTTTTCGCAAACTAACTAACTAATGAAAAATTTTGATAAAATAAAATGAAAAGTTTGTTTTTTTTCACTTTGAAAATCAAATCAAATCAAACATTTCAATTTTGAATGTTTTTTTTTCTTCATAGAAGTAAGCCTTTTTTTTCTCCCGTTAGATAGGATAGGATAACACATCATCACATTACCCCAATCGATGCTAATTTCATTTTCATTTTTTTTTGCTTTGCAACAAACAACAAAAATCCGCATCCATTCCGTTTGTTGTTGAATCGAAAACAACTTTCGAGGAAAATAAAATTTAATGAAATAAACTCATTATTTTGATATATTTTGAAATGCCGAAAAAAGAAAAATTCAATTTTGATTTCATTCGTTGTCAATTGAATTTTTTTTCTCCCTCTCTCTTTCTTTGAAACTTTAATAAATTCTATTTTTCTTTTTTTACTGAAATTCTTGTTGAACAGATTCTTTAGGAATTCAAGCAAGCAAAAAAAAAAGAAAAAAGTTTAAACTTGAAATCGGGAAACGAGAATTATTCATCGATACAATCGATATAAATTAGTGATGGGGTTTGAATAGTATATTCTTTTTTTTGTTGTCAAGATTGAATGATAGTAGTTTTTCGTATGGATAACAAACAAACAAAAAAAAGTAAAAGTTTTTCCCATTTAGTTTAGTTTTATTGTTGATATTCGATTCCATAAGCGAAAGTTGTTTTTGTTTATTTCGAATGATTTTTGTTGTTGTTGCTTGTGTTTACCGGAAAAATTAACCCAAATAAGTATGTGTTCTGGATCATTATCATCTTAACAATCGAAATTGGGTAGAATAAAAAAACAACTGGACCGATCAAACAAAACAAAAAAAAAATTGAGCATAGTTTTTTTGCCGATGATGTTGATGATGATGATCTGAACAAACACCAAAGATTCACAATAAAAAACAACAACAACAAACATCTTGAACGCTTAAGGGCATGATGATTTTATTCAATTTATTCAGTTTATTTATTCTTTATCATCATCATCATCATCATCATTCTTAAATTCTCGACACCAACTTCGAACAAAAAAAATCGAATCATTCGAATTCGAATGCGAATCAACAACAAAAAACGAACCATACACACATATGGTATGACGAATTTTTTTTCGATTGTTTGTAAATTACAAATTCTTTGAAAAAATATTTTGTTGTTTCCTCTCAATGAAAATCGCTATAAAATGTTGTTCACAAGAATTTGAAACTTTAAAATAATATTTTTTTTTTGTTCATTTTCATAAAATGTTCGAAAATGAAATGAACCAGAAAAAAAACACCGAACAGAAAATGATCAAAACTCTGGCTATCCGAATTTGAATATTTTTGTTGTTGTCGTTGATCCATTTGTTTTTTTTTCTTTCGAAAATCCCAGATTGAAAATAATGGATTCACAAAAAAAATGAAAATAAAACTTTTCTCTTTTCTTCATCATAATCGTAACAACAACGAATATGAATTGAACATTTTCATTTTTTTTTTGTTTTGAAATGAATGAATGAATGAAAAGTTTTTTCCCAAAAATAATCCATAAATTCAAAAAAAAAAAATTCTCATCGAAATTCGATATGCATTGATGGAACATTTATGATAGATTCAGTGAAAATCAATGTGAAATGAATTTTAAAATTTTCTGAATTTTGTTCGTTTAATGTTGAATTGTTTTGCGAAAAAAATATTCAAATATTTGTTATTTTTTTGTTTTATTTTCTCTCTCAAAAATTCTAGCTAATTCGATTGTCGAATCAACAATGGCCAAAATAATTGATAGACAACAACAACAACAACAACAATCAAAAAATTCGTCCATTACTTATCGAATTGAATTGTATGATGATGATAATATAAATCGATTAATCGAACGTCCATTACAATCTCGTGTATTTGTTGTCCATATTGATCGACAATCTGATAATGATGGTAATGATAATAATCGTAAAATTATTGGCCACTTTTCAGTGCAATTATTGATTGAACAAAATTCAACAACAACAACAACAAATAATCAATGGAATGGTTATCGTATTAGAATAATATCAATGATCAATAAGAATCGATTGTTAAACAATTTAAAAAAGAACGATGAAAAAGAAACTTTGTATTCAAAACAACAACAAATGCCTTATGAATCAATGGATGATGGTGATAATGATGATGATGATGAATGGATAATCATTTCGAATGAAGAATTTCAATTTAATCCGATAACAAAATCAATCAATCAAAATGGAAAAAATGATAATGGTGGATTACAATCATTCAAATCGATCACGGCAACAAATTCAAAATCTATTTATATTTTCAATGATGATTATGATGATGAAGAAAAATCAACATCATTTGTTGTTGGTAAGAATTTTTTTTTACTTTCGAATAATATTTTCAACAATTTAATTCAATGAATTTTTTGTTTCTCGTTTCTCATCTCTTTTAAAGCACCAAAATCATTTGCAATCGATAAAAGTATTGATGATAATCATCATCAAATTGATGGACTAAAACAACAACAACAACAACATAGTGGAAGTGGTGGTCAATTATTTCGTCCATTTTTATTTTTATTATTTACTGTTGCCTGGTTAACTATTGGTATTGTATTGATAATTATTCTTGTTTATTCATCTGTACGATTTTGTCGTACGATACGAAAACGTTCGATATCGAAAACAACAACAACGTCATTGTCAAGGAATGATTCTTCAAACGAACCACAATCTACGAATGAAATTCCTGATGAAAAACTAGAAAATGAATCAAAATCCATTGTGATGATACATGATGCAACATCTTTATTATCACCATTATCAACAACAATGATGATCAACAGCAATAACAACAACAATAGTGACATTTCGAATGATCAAAATTTTACAATCATAAAATTAAATCAATTCACGACGACAAATTCCACTATCGATACATCGATTATTAAACATTTATCAAATGATAATGATGAAGATGATGATGATGATAATTCACATGTAACTGTTGTTTGGAATGATAGTGGTGGAAACACAACAATAATGAATAAGGTTTCATCATCATCATCATCATTATCGACAACAGCAACTACATCAACAGTATCAGCTATGAATAATGGAATAATAAATAATGATCAAATAAATTCCTTTCCCACATCTACATCATCGATTGGTTTTTTCGTTACTACATCAGCAGAAGCAGCAGCAGCAATATCTTCGACATGTGATGGTCATTCAGCTTGTATTGTTGCTACTGATGTAAAATCTAATCATGCCACTCCTACTACTTCGATATTATCACGAATAAATTCTATACAAGATGAACAGGAGCCATCAGAATCATCGAATAAATATGTTAATTTAATTACCGATCATTTTATTCCAACCACACAATCATCAATATCCACAAATCTAGAATCATCATACAATACGTCATCATCATTGATGACAACAGCAGCAGCAGCAGCAATTGATTCAAAATTTCTTCATCAAAAAACATCAGCATGGAAAAAGATAGAATTACAAACAACAAATAATAATAATAATAATAATAATCGAAAAGAAAATCATCAGCCATTCAATTTGAACATTACTAATAATAATAACCATCATCATCATCATCATCTAAATTTAGATCATTTTGACCATAATGATGATGATAATAATAATGCTAATTTCAATAATAATAATAATATGAATGTTACGATTCCATTTGCTGCATCAATTCAAAATGATCCTCAACATCATCAACATCATCATCATCATCAGCAGCAGCATGATATTTGTCTTGAATATTATGATAATGATCATCATCTTACTTCATTTCAACAACAACAGAATGTACATCTTTTGAATGATAATAATAATAATGATGATGATAATCAATATTCAAATGTTGGTCCAAGAATTCATTTAGATAGAAACAGATTTTTTCCTTCACAACAACAACAACAACAACAGAATCCAGAATCATTGTCTTATTCAACAACAACAACTACATTGGATACACTGAATAATTCTATCATAGATAATATGAAAACAACAATAGTATCCAGACGACAATATCAACAAAGATCACAGCCATCATCATTATCAATGACCAATGATAATGATGATGGTAACCAACAGCAACAGCAATCATCTTTATATGTTTATGTTCCATCCGTATCCGTATCATCATCATCGAATACAATGAATAAATTTGATTATAATTTATCGATAAACAAATGTAATCAACATGATGATGATGATGATGGTGATAGAAATATTGTTGGTTGTCTGGATGCTGTTGTTTCACATGATCACAATAATGATGATGATAAAGATGGTGGAAATAATTGAATTGTAGAATGGCCATTTTTTATAGATGATGATTTGAATGTAAAAAAATATGAATATCTTATTGTTCTTTTCTTATGAACTGTTTTGGAATTCTGAGAATTCATCATTAGAATAAGAACAAACCTTGATCATCACGAACAAGCAAAAAAAAACAAACAAACAACAAAACTAAAAAGTGAGACCGAATCAATCAAAAATAATCATAATTTCAAATAAACATTCCAAGAAAAACAACTTGAAATGAAAACAACATCAACAACCAAATAATAAATTAAACATTAATTTCATTTTGTCCTAAAAATTTTTATTTCAATTGTTTTATTTATTTACTACTGACCAACTAGATGTTTTGTAGAAAGAATTGATGGAATTTATGTGTGTGTGTTTGGTTTAATGAAAAAAAAGGATGATGAAAACAAACAACAATCCATTGAGCATATTTAGCAAGTTTCCATATTTTTTTTCCTCCGATATAACCCACAAGTTATATAATCAATAGATTTTTCTTTTTTCGGCCAGAAAAAATAAAAATGTAATACTAGAATATAGAATTTTATTCAATATTCGATGATACGATGATTCCGATTCTTCTTTTTTTATTTTATTTTGTTCATCTTTTTTTCCTTTCAATGAAATTCTATACTTTTTTTTTCTTCATTCAACCAATACTGATTTTAATTCAAATTCCACATTTTGATTGTTGTTGCTATTCTGTAAACTGAATGAATATTTGCTTTATACAAGTTTTATTTTCAAAACGAAAAATGTTTATTCATTTTGTGAATGTGTTTAACCGATAAATTCATTCAATTCATACCATCAACAAGAATTCAACCATAAAGAAAGTGGAAAATTGAATGAAAAAATAAATGGCAAACATTTTTATTCAATTTTCAAATGTTTTTTTTCGCTACAATTTTGCAATCATCATCGTAAAAGAATTTCTTTTCAGAAACTTTGAAACTTGTGAATTCTGATAAGATAAGAGGAAACGAAAATAAATACATTATATATGAATGATTCTTGTGTTTTGAATAATTTTAATTTCTTCGACTATTTATTTTGTCTATTTTTCAACCATATATTTACTAAACGATCACTATTTAAGTTGAAATTATTTATTAACGTAATCAATTTATTTATTTATAAAATGATATTGACGCTGATAATATGTGTGTAATGTGTGTGTGCTGTTTGTATCGTTTTTATTTTTGTTTTTGTTTTTTGTTTCGCTGATGAACGTTAAAATCGACGGAAATTGAACCAATACGAAACAACGAAAAAGTGTGTTTCCTGACACTATCAAATGATGATGATTATTATTATAAACATTATCGTTATTCATGTGAATTTTGTTTCGTTTATTATGAAAAGCTCATTTTGAATCGAATATTATTCACATTTTTTTTTGTTGTTGTTGTTCCAATCTCGAATGGCCATCATCCATGAAAAAGAGGGATGATCATCTTTTTCCTTTCTCTGAAGTATGAACAAAAACAAAATTTTATAAGAAAATCCTCTTTCCAAGAATATGATGAGATCGAATACTGTTTGTTTGGGATTTTGAGATCCAAAATAAAAATAAAAATAAAAATTCTGTGTCCATCTCATTATTGCAGAAACAAAACAAACAAGCAAACAAAAAACATTGTGACCATTACAATCACCACCAACCAACTACTGTTTGGTAATTTGAATCAAATCCTGTTCTCATCATCGTCATCATCATCATTTTCTATGTGATTATAATTCGGAAAAAATAATAGAAAACAAAACAAAAAAGTTTTCCGAATATAAATCTTACATATATCCACATCCCCCCATCACCATCGATAGTATCGTTCGAATGTTTTGTCAATATATAATCAAATGATGATGTTCATGTGTCACATACACACACAAAAAATAAAATATAAAATTACAATTTAAATATAATTCTTTGTTTTTCGCTAGAATCGCTTTTGGTCGTTTGTTGAGGATTATTCTTCTTTCAAATCATTACTATGATGATTATGATGATAATTTTACCATTTTGAATGAAAAAAGAAGATTGTTTTTTGGTTATTTTTTTTTCGAGAAAAGAAAAAAAAACCAAATCAAGTTTGATACTTTTTTTTTCTCCTTCAAAGTTAATCTGAATGAATCATATGATGATGATCTGGCAAATACGGAATTTTGTCAGAAAACAAAGAAAAAAAATTCTGATTTTTTTCCCTGAAAATAGAAAAAAAAGCAAAACATTTGATCTATAGAATTTGATTTGATTTGATAATGACGATAATCAGGATAACAGATATTGGTCGATTCCAAATATGGTCCACACACACACACACAATAACTGAAATGATGATAATTTTATTCAAATCAAATCAACTAAAATCAGATCGAATTAATCATTGCACAAACAACAAAACAAAACAAAAAAATCGATCATTGTTTTTTTTTCTCGATGGATTCTTCTTATCCAGAAGTCAATTTTTGTTTACTCCCGTTTTGATTCGGAACATTTTCGTGTGTGTATGGATGATGAGAGTTTATTTGCATCTTTTTTTTTCTCGGAATGATTGTACAAATCGATTGTATTCGAAAAATGATACAATCGAAAATCGATTCGTCCATCATCAGGATCATCATTACACAAACATGGAATTTCCATGAATTTTTTCTTTTTGTGTTTTGTTTTTTGTATTTCAGTTATAAATTCTTGAATAATCAATTCATTGATTGAATTTAGTTTTACAATTTCACAATTGTCCATTGTCCACAATGTAAATTTCCTATATAACAATGTAATTATATTATATGAAATTGAAAATATCAAATAACAGAAACACACATTCCGCCCCCTCCCCCCGTTTTCCTATGATTTTGCCAAATTGCCAAAAAGAATTTGATACAGTAAAAAACACTTTTTGCCATGATTTTTTTTCATACAAAAAAAAAATTTGCAAACAAAAAAAAATAAAGAATCCTGTACTTGTATAATGCTCAAACACACACCCACACACACACAATACACAGTGAAATTTTCAACAAAAAAAAAATTTGAAATTTGAACATCAAATTTTTTTTTTACCCAGGAAAATACAAAAATGAATAATAATTTTCATTCTATTTCCGCAATGAATATTATGTTTCTCTTTGTTTGATGAATTTTTTTTTCAAGGAAAAATTGGTCATTTGAAAAAAAACTCTGTAATTTTATTTGGAGATCGATTATTGACCCACACACACACACACACACACACAAAATATCATCCAACGTGATCCATTTTTTGTTTGTTTGTCTATTCATATCCACACACACACACACACACACACAAAAGAATATCGATAATCAAACAATGAAGTATACTTACCACATTAATGTGTGTGTGTGTGACGGTGGATTTATCTAAGCAAAGAAGCGAATTTATATTTTTATATTCATTCTTTATTGTCATCATCATGATCAACAACAACAACACCATTAACATCGATAAAGTAAAAAAAAGAATTCATCGGTGATCAATCATCAGATCAATGACAACTTTGATCATCAATGATCAACAATATCAATGTTTAATGTTAAAAAATCATTTTCATTATGTACTTTTTTTGGCCATAATTTTTTTATTCTGTAAAAATTGGCCAATTCGAATGTTTTTTCGTTCTCGACAAAAAAAAATTGCCCGTAAACTTTTTTTGTTGTTGTTGTTGTTGTTACCATTTCAATTCCCATAACGGAACTTTTCTTTCGACTTACGAAATATGACGTACATAAACGATGTTACCCGATATGAATGTTAAATCCAATGAGATTTTGTATTTCTATTTTTTTTGTTTTTGTACATATCTAACAAATTGACTGTAAAAAATAAACAAACAAACACACACAGTGAAATTTATTTTTATTTGAAAAATATTTTTGTTTTTGTTTTTGTAAACAAAAAGTGAAAATGACCAAAGAAAACAAAAAAAAATATATTTGAAAACCTATTATAATGATCACTATAAATATTGTTATTCTATTCTATTTGAAGGAAGCTAAAAATAAAAAGAAAAACAAAAAATTTTTTTTGATGACAACGATGATAATGATCATTCCGATTTGATTGAAGTGAATAAACAAAGCAAAAAAAGCAAAAAAAGTAAAAAAAACGATTCTGTCGAGGGAAATGAGAATTAAATGATGCGAATATAATCACTGATTTGAATATATCATTGACTATTTTTTTTAAACATTGTGTGCGATTTAAATAGAAATAGTATCCATTTTTTTATTCATTCATTCATTCATTTATTCAATCAATCGATCCATTACGATTGCAGTGCTTGCTTTACTTCCTCTTCCTTGATTATCATCAATATCATTATCGCTTTGTTGATGATCCAAATTACCATTATCATTATTATTATTTTGATCATTAATGGCCATATTATTATTATTATTATTTGATGATGATGATGATTTATTATTCTTTGCCTTTAAATGATTATTGTTATTATTATTATGAATAATAAATGTTGAACGCATCCAATGACATGGTTTTTTAAATCTATCGCCAATCGTTTTGATTGAAGATCCACTATTATTATTAATATTACCATTATTGGTTGATATAATTGATGTTGATGTTGTTGGTTGCAGATTTAAATCCATTTGTTGTTGTTCAATATTCATATTTTTTACAAAATTCGATTTAAATGTCATATTATTTTTCTGCTGTTTCTGTTTTCTACGTTCCTGTTTTGATATTTGTTGTTGTTGTTGTTGTTTTGATTGTAAACGATTTGCTTCAATATCCGATAATGTTGTCGATGATGATGATGATGTTGATAATAATCGATCACTATGAATGGTATTGATAGTTGATGCTGCTACTGCTGCTGCTGTTGATGTATTTATTGATGCTGCCATAGTTTTTATTATTTTCGATTCATTTATCGTTTGTTGAAACATTAATGAAATTATAGAACCAAAAATAATGATTATAAAATGTATCATATGTGCTGTAAGTATCATACGTTGTACATTCCATTGATCAACTATTGTTGTTTGTTCATCAAAATTATGATGATAATAGATTAGATCACCAATACGATATTGTTCAATGAACCATATAATTGTTAATAATGTTAATGATGTACGAAACCATTGATGACTTGATGATCTACTACGATGTTGATGATGATGATGATAATGATGATGACCATTATCTTTATTATGATCATTACGATGTTTATTCATCAACAATAACGATATGATTGCAATGAATGCAATCAATTCTTCGATCAATGTATTAAATATTGCCAATATAAATAAACGTGGTAATAATGAACGTGTTATCATTGGTGTTATCGATGTTGATGTTGATGGTGATAATCCTTGTATCTGTAGTTGTGAATATAATGATGTAAGAAAACGTTTTTCTGGATCACCATTATTATTATTACTACCAAAGCCATCTGTATGAGGAATATGACCCGAACCACGTGAACCAAGTCGATTTTGAACATCAACGATTTGCCTTGTCGTCTCGATGCATAATACTAGCCATAATATCATCAATACAATCAATAAAATGATAAATATTGCTCGCATAAGTTTATCGATTATAAAACAGCAAAGCATTTTGTTTATCGTTTTGGTTACTGATGTTGTTGTCTTTAAAACATTCTGATAACGAATGACAATTTACACAAATTCGACCACCAACAGTCAGTCGAATCGTTCAGTGATGATGAATGAAATGTCAAGAACCTTTGTTGTTTGTCGAAAATCGACGATAGGCGGAGAGAATGACGATTCATACGATATATCGATAATCAAATATTACAGTTTCCGATTCGAGTTTTTATTTCATCACATTCGATTCTTCCTGCTCTCCCGAAATATCGATTTGATTTGATTGAAATGGACTTTATTTCTTCATTTATTTATTTATTTATTTTTTGTTGTTAATTTTCTACACCAACGAAAAAGAATTTCGAATGGCCAATAACCATTTATGATGGTTACCAATGGTTACAATGTTTCTTTCTTTTTATTATCATTATTATTATCACATGTTTCATTCCTATATTCACAAAAAATTATTATTATTCAGTTATTATACAAGGTTATTAACCTTGGACTTGGATGAAAAAAAATGCATATACAACTTATATCAATTAAATTTTCTGGTTATGTATCTATTGAAGATTTTTATTTTCCAACATTTTGACCATTTTGGATCATTCCTCATACCAATGTTATTTTACCACCCATTGATTTTATGTGATTCATTCAAGTCATGTGTGATAACTATATATAAACTAAACATTGAAATAGATAATGATCAATATGATTTGTGATCAAATGATGATGAATCAATTATTTCTACGATAACAATAATGTTTTTGCTGTCATTTTTTTTTGTTTGTTCAAGATCATTTATTGATTGATTGATTGATTGAATGCTTTTTTTTCTTTCTGTTCTTTATATGACGGAAAAAGGAAACCATAATGGAAAAAATAACCAAGAATGACCTTATTTTTTTTACTAATAAAAGACATACGATAGATAAATAATTACCTGTTTAAAATATGGCACAGAAACGGAAAACATACAATAAAATCATCGATCAATCAATCGAACATTAAGAAAAGAAAAATCGAATCGATTCGAATGATCGAGGTGATCGGACCTTCATCCAATGATGGGCGTATATTTTTCTTTTCCTGGTTTCGTGATTTTGCCCCTTTTTCTCCCCATATATGTACCAAAAAATGATTCGCATTTATTTCGAACACAAAAACATCTTCCGATTTTATCCTTAATCTTTTTTTCTTTTTCGCTAAACAACATCGTTGAAAAAAAATGATGTTATTTTTCCAAAGAAATTCATTCTGGATTCTATTATTATCATCAACATTCATAATTGAATGGTTCACCATCGAACAACATATTTCAATCATAACGATGGCAAAACGAATTAAATTCTGTAAATTAGATCATCTGATTGAATGTTTTATCGAACCAGGACTGTATCTAAGTGCACAAACAAATGGTACAGGAATACCAAGAAATTCAATGGATTTTGAACAATTCTGTTTGTAAGTATAACGATTAATTCTTAAAAAAAAAATATTATTGTGATAATCATTGTTGTTTTGTTTTGTTTGTTCCTGGAAATTTTTCCTGAATCCTTACATAGTAATCAACATGATTATGGACCATATTGTGTACGAAAATGGTTTCATCATTGTGGTACACGTTTACATTCGATTCTTTTCGAACGTTTTTATCTGAAACCATTTCAAAATAATTTACTACAATTCTGTCAATCGAATGGGACGTTACGCAATGGTAAGTAATTTCTTTTCAAAAAAATCAGTTGGATAATATTTTTTTGCAAAAAGATTTTCTCGAAATTGCACCATGTTTGATTGATAAAGTTAAATTATCAGATGATTATCGTCAACGTTGTATTTATCGATTACAAACATCATATGAATGGATTTCGGATCAATCAAAACAATTGGCAAACATTACTAAATTCTATCGAAATACATGCTGTGCATATTATGATTGGGAACATTGTATAATGGATATGTTAATGGTCGAATGTGGTCAACATTCACAACGAATGTTCAGTGCAATAATTGAATATAATTCATTATCCATATTGAATATTCTATGTCCAAGAGAGGAATATGGATTCGGTAAACAACATTGTAATTCATCTGAATTCCTTGCACCAAATGATTATCATCCGAAAGGTATCCATTCGAATAGTATCGTAAGCTATTTATTCAGTTATTATTGTCCAAATGTTGGCTATGGAATTGAGGATTGAAAAATTCATTTCAAAATAATTTTTATTTTCAATTTTCTAATAATATTAATTAATAACAAGGTGTGTTTCATTCACTGATTATAATTGTAACAATTGTTCGATTAGATAATGTGAAATATTCGGATAACGAACATGTGGAAAATGTCCAGCATCTTTGAGCAGATAAGATTTTATTATCGATGATGATGTTGGTATTGATGATATCGATTTTGTATCATCCTGATCAATCGAAATCCGATTCGATATTTCTAATATTTCATGCAGTTTATCAATTGCATATTTTGATATTAATCGTTCATCAGTACCATAGGTTATAAATCCAGGCGTTTGTCGTTGTTTTAGTTTCATCAATCGTACCATTGAACCATTGATCACTTTATCGGGTATATTTTGTACATAACAACTCATTAAAAATATATCATCAATATTGTCGAATTTATATGGTGGAAATCGAAAATTCATTGCTTTTAATAATCGTGTCATCAATTGAAATTGTGACATTTTTATCAGAATTTTTCCACCTCGAATTATTTTCGGTTCAATTGCTTTAAGACCGAACTCGGGTGAATGAAAACCAAGTGATCGAATTTGAATGTCATGCGGTGGTTGATCATGAAGCATCAGACATGTATGTGCACCAAATGAATGGCCAATAAGACAATCGATTTGTTTGATTTTCAATTGTTCAAGAAAATCTTTAATACAATAATATTTTTCATCAAATGTATGCCAAAATTGAAAATTTGTTTGTCTAGTATGTCTATAATCTGGTTGATTAGGAACAATAACACGAACATTTTTTTGTTGATGAAAATGATTAATCAATTTAGTAAATGTACGATAAGTATCGGATGTTCCATGTATGGCTACAATTACCTTATCATAATGATGATTTGGTTGCCAATTATCTACATAATCAATAGTTATATCCAATCCTTCGGATGGTGAATGACGAAATACTTTTGGCTGTTCTTCTCGCAATCGATCATAAAGGCCAACACATGTTCGATATGTAATTGTTTTGATGAATTCGGGTGGAATATCCGATGATTTGATGGATGATGTTGAACAATAACGAATTAAATTGCGGTTAAAAACATTGTAAAATTTTTTTCCGCAAAATCGGTGGAACATTTTCTTCAATACAGCTGATCAATGTTTTTTCATTCGAAAGTTTTGGATACATGTGATCCTCAAAAAAATCGAATGATAACGTGGATGCAGCCATCTTTTAGTCGCTGATCAAACCATTTTGGAGAACGAAACTAAACAAAAATATTTTTCAATTTCTTTTATTTAAACTTTGTCAACATTTATTAATAAGTTTTTCGATCAAAACATTTGTAACATTTGGATATTTAAGATGAGGAAAATGACGTCCATCTTTAACAATGATTTTTTTCATGATTTGTTGTGATTTATTATTCATTTCGGAAAAAGTGTTGGCAATTATTTTCGGATCATCTTGATCGACAATAATTGTTTGATCATCCCCTATATTAAGTAATCTATATAATTCTAGTTGTGCATTTTTATCAATGATTCTTTCATCCGCTGAATACATAATAAAACCACTTATATTCATTGTATTCAATAATCGAATTCTTTCGGGTGAATCTTTCATTGCTTGTTGATCTAATATAATTGTTAATAAATGAAAAAGTTCATCAATTTCGTTAAATTTGAACGGTATGCTTTTGGATTGATGAATTTTCATCCGATGCAACAGACGAGATAAATATTCAGATTTTGAAAATGGCAGTACGAATTTTGTCATTTTATATAGATCATTATTAGCGAAATTGCCTAATAAAAATTGTGGTGCAATCATTGCCAATGATTTTATCTGTAAATGTTGTGGTTTCTGTAACAATACCGTACTTGATTGATTTCCATATGAATGGCCAACCAAACAATCAATTGTGTCAATATTTAAATGACGAAATAAATCCTGTAATAGATGATATTTTTCATCACTTGAATGCCAAAATGAATAATTAGTTGAACGTGTATGACTAAAATCGGGAAAATTCGGCATAACAATTCGTACATCTGATCGATGTTTAAAATGTTGATACAATTGGGTGAATGTACGATAAGTATCGGCAGTACCATGAAGGGCTACAATTGTTTTGTTCGGTTTTTGATTCGATTGAGTATCAACATAATCGATAGTGATATCGACACCTTCGGAAGGTGATTTTCCATAGAATCGAGGTAATCGTGTTCGTAATTCATCATAAATATTAACACAGGTCCGAAATTTTATTGTTTTGATAAATTCACTAGGAATTTCGGCAGATGTCGATAATTTTGATCGTTGACATTGATTAATATTGACCAATAATCGATTTCGTAACATTATGACTGACAAAAAAGTTGTTGAACGATGAATGTTATAAAATTATGATGAAACATTAGTACCTAAAAAGATTAAATAATTAATAAATATCACAGAAAATTATTCCAGATTTTCGCAGAAATGATTCGAACTTCGGTACGAATGTCACATGCAGAATATAATACAATGATATCGAATAACACACGCCATCTTTTGTCAACATTGATAAAAGTGGGAAAAAATTCCGATTAATTTTTTTTTTAATTTTGTAAACAAATAAATTCATTCATCAATAAGTTTTTCAATTAAAAAATTTATAACATTTGGATATTTTTGATGCGGTAAATGTCGTCCATCTTTTGCCATGAATTTTTTCATTGGATTATTGAGCAAATAATTAGTATCAATTATTTTCGGATTATCTTGATCGATTATGATTGTTTGAACATCGTCAATGTTTAGTATTTGGTATAATTCTTGTTGAGCTTTTTTCGAGATAATTTTATCATCAGAAGAATACATAATAAAACCAGGAAATTTCTTTTCATTCATTAATCGAACTCTTGCCCGTGAATCTTTAACAGCTTGTATATCCAAAAGAAGTGTATTTAAAAGAAAAAATTCATCAATATCTTGAAACTTAAAAGGTATGCCTTTGGATTGATGAATTTTCATTCGATGCAATACACGAGATAAAATTCGGGATTTCGATAATCTGAGCATCAATTTTGAATTATTGTGCAACTTTTCTTTTATACCATCGAAGAAAAATTGTGGTGCAATCATTGCCAATGATTTTACCTGTAAACCCTGTGGTTTTTCCAATATTGCTGAAGTTGGTTGACTTCCGAACGAATGAGCAACCATACAATCGATTGTGTCAATATTTAAATGGCGAAATAAATCCTGTAATAAATGACATTTTTCATCACTTGAATGCCAGAATTTATAATTGGTTGCACGTGTTTGACTGAAATCAGGAAAATTTGGCATAACTAGTCGTACATCTGATCGAGGTTGAAAATGACTGAACAATAGATTGTATGTTCGAAAAGTATCAGCCAAACCATGAAGAGCTACTATGGTTTTTTTCGGTTTTTGATTTGGTTGGGTATCAACATAATCGATAGTTATATCAACACCTTCGGTGGGTGATTTGTAATAAAATTGAGGCAATCGTAAACGTAATTCATCATAAACATTAACACAGGTACGAAGTTTTATTGTTTTGATAAATTCACGGGGTATCGTTGCATTTGTCGAAAATTTTAATCGTTGATATCGATTAATATTAACTAATAATCGTTGCTGAAACATCGCAGATGCTTGAAATTTTTTGATTTATCAATGGTCTGTTTGCGAGTATAACTAAATGATGTACGACAATTCCATCAACACTATAGAACAGAAATGACTTTTGATTTTAAACGATTTGAATTATTTAGAAACAGTTGTACCTAAATAATTCAAAAAAAAGATCTTCATTTCAAGAATTAAGGAAATTTTTTTTCATCCTTTTGCACAACTCTCGATCATCATTGAATTAGCACTAACGCCACCTTCTGGCTTCCATAAACATTGATACAAGTACGAAATTTGATTGTTTTGATATATTCACGGGGAATCGTTGCAGTTGTCGAAAATTTTAACCGTTGACATAGATTAATCTTGGCCAATAATCGATGCTGAAACATCGTAGAGATGTTCAGAACTTTTTCGATTTTTAAATGAGTGTAAATGGTCTGTTTGTGAGTTTAAATAATGTTGTATACAACCATTTTAACAGAAATATTTTGTAATTTAATTATTCAAAATATTGTAATATAATTCTGCCTAAATAATTAAATAATAAATGTTAATAAATAACTTTATTTCCTTTTCAAGTCAAGAAATTGCAAAAATTGTGACATTTTTTTCAAAAGTATCGAATAGCTATCGATAGTGTTGTTCATCATTGAATTAGCTTTGCTCATGAGTTTCACAAGAGGGTGTTTATTTTTTTTGATCATTTGTCTGCATTCTGATTTTCAACCTTTAATTTGTCTGTTTCTTGCTTGGTTAAATCTAGTTTTTTTCAATATTTCAAAATAATATCAATAATCAATATGTCCACTCCATCAAATGATGATCCATTGAAGCCCATTTATGGACCATTTTTCGGCATAATGGGTTGTGCATCGGCGATGATATTCAGTTCAATGGGTGCAGCATATGGTACAGCTAAATCTGGTATCGGTATTTCGTCGATGGCTGTTATGCGTCCTGATTTAATTATGAAATCAATTATTCCGGTTGTTATGGCTGGTATTATTGCTATTTATGGTCTAGTCGTCGCGGCTTTGATTGCCAACAATATTAAACCAGGTGGTAAAGCGGGTGGATATTCATTGTTCAATGGATTTCTTCATATGGGTTCCGGTCTTTCGGTTGGTTTCGCTGGATTAGCTGCCGGTTATGCTATTGGTCTTGTTGGTGATGCTGGTGTTCGTGGTACATCGCAACAACCACGTTTATTTGTCGGCATGATTTTAGTATTGATTTTTGCTGAAGTATTGGGACTCTATGGTTTAATCGTTGCATTAGTTTTGACTACAAAAGCATCGTAGATCTTGCATACAATCATCGATTAATTAGAAAAGCAATTCCGATTCTATTCCAGACCAAAATCTTTCTATATCTCATTATTTCAAGCTAATCAAGATATATAGTTATTTTCATTTCAGACTTATAATTTATATAGGTCTTTTTATGTGTTTGTTTGTTTTTGTGATTATTTTTTGTAATTCATTAATCTATATTGATGAATTATGAATTTTATTTGTAAATAAAATTGATTATGATAAAGATAAAATCGTTGAATTGAAAGAATTTTAAATTGAATTCCTATTGACAGATGGTGCCAGGGGAATTATCCAATGTTTTTGTTTTCGTTACGAAATTTGTATACACGTGTGTGATTATCATATGGAATTTTTATCCAAAAACCGATGATTATCTGATGATGGATTCATCTAAACCACCTTCATCATATCTGACATTGTTAGATGAAATTTCACTCGAAGGTCTTCGTGGTTTAACATTTCCATCGCTTTGGATTCGATTAAATGATCGTGATCGTTATCTAGCTTCATTGAATAAACCTACTGTTTTCGGATTTGATAATTCAAATGAGTTATCAAAGCTCAAAGATTTTGTGCTAAATGTTTGTCTAAAAGAGTCTGAAAAAGGTAATTGTATTTGAATCTTTTGACTGACTAGAAGTTTTTAGCTTTGTTGTTTATTCCTTTCGCAGGAAATATTCAATTTTATAAAACAAAAAATGCCCAACCTACGGTTCAGATCTATGATCGAAATCAATTTGTCGGACAACAAACTGGTACCTTATTGATTGATGATTCACAAGTACCGGATGATCTCTACCCACCAGTAGTCGGTGTTAAACCTACTTCGGATGGTTCGAATTCAGACCTGGATACGATACTCGGTTCTTGTGAAGACTATCATAGCCGAATAAATATTACTGATGAAATTCTCAACAATCGTCCGGAAAATTTTCATCATTTCGAAACTAAATATGAAGATCAAATAACTCAAATTGTTTTGGTTGCATCACAAAAGCTTCGGGCAATTGCATTGTTTGGCGCAGATCGTTGGTCTGAATATGATCGATTGAAGCCTGAATGTTATCTGATTCTCGAATCGATTGGCCTAAAACGTTGGTATGGTGAGATAAACTTTGGCAAAGAAACACCTCAATATCTTGATTCGAAAATTCGTACGTCTTTCTATTATTTTCGTAAAATTCTCACCGAAGAACGATTGATATTGACCACAACTAGCGCACTGTTCAAAGCCAAACGACAACAGATTACGCAAGCAATCGTTGCTTATTTGCCTCGATTTCGTCCGATAATGTCCAATCCAAACGATTCAAAAATGATTGCTCTTTCACATTTGTTTATACAAACTGGTCGTAATCGCTTACCTCTTAAAAATGATGTTGTTCGTGAATTTTTTACCCAACATTTTCAAATGAAAAATTGTGCTCCATTAAAATTGCTTCGAAGAATTATGGAAAGATACTCTGCTTTTTTCCGTATTTATGAAGATGATCAAGACGATGGAATAGGAATCGAATATCTAAGATTGCTGGACAAGCATCCATTACATTATGATGACTTTTTTCGAATGGTATCCAGCACTATTGTTCAAAATGATCAGGATCGAAATTTAGACAATGGTGATGGTGACGGTGATGATGATATTGATGATGATAACGATAATGAAGATGATGACGGTCTTAATGTCAATATGCATGATGGCAATGTACTCATAGATATGGAAGATGATGAATTTGACGATAACGATGAAGATTCAGAAGTCTTTGAGCAATCACAAACAAAACTGTTACAACAATCTTGTTTAGATAAATTATTTGATGATTACGGTATCGATATTGCTAATGCTGAAGATGATCCATTCGTTGCGGTCAAGTTGGATACAAATTTTGATTATAATGCATTTTTCAATAGACGGAAATTCGAACCTTTTAAAGCTTTGACAGAATATCCGGATTCGAAAGCAAGCGACAGCATTGTTTCGATTTTTGATGACGCTGATCAAAATCTAATTCATGTTCCTACCATTCAAGAAGTAACGCAAAACTATTCAAAACCACTAGCCATGCACATCCACGATCGCCTAATTCAACGTAATTTTCTTACTTCTAATCATCCATATCATTCTGTTACATCTTGCCATTCCGGAGAAAAACTAAACTTATCGTTAGCACGATTACAACAATTACCTCGTTATCTGGATGATCGTATACAGAATCTTCTGGCAATATGTGGTCCATGTTCAAAAAAGAAATTGGCTAATATTTTTGATTTACCTATCAGCACTATACGTTTAATGTTAAAAGGTCTGAAAGAATCTGGCGACATTACATTTACTGTTAAACGAATAGGTCGACAATTTTTACACATGTTTCAATCAAACATTTCGACTATTGTTCAAAATCCTCAATCAACTATCGTAGATGTTGCATATCAAAAAAGAATGACACTCGTTTTAGAATATATAAAACGATTAGGTATTTGTGATAGTTTTATGTGGATTCGTCGATATATCGTAAATTGTGAAAATCCTGGTCAACAACAACGACTTTTTTCCGCACAATGTGATGTAAAATCTATTATAAGAATATTGAATCATTTGGTTGACATTGGTCGTGTACATTTATTTCATTATGAACTTGATTATAAACAAAATTATCGCAATAGCTATTATGTTATTTATACAGCCGATGGTCAAAATCACCATTTAGATCGAGAACTAGAACAGCATCTTATTCTTCGTTCTCGATTTACTTGGTTTGCACGTTATCCAATCAATTTGAATACCGATGTGAAATGTGTTGATTTGATTGGTTCCGATAAATCAGGAAAAATAGATTTCCAAACTGCTGTTTCTCGATTCTTTTCCACTAGTCAACGTTTTGTGGATAAAAAAGAAGAACAAAAACAAATTGAAAACAATGATAGCATAGATGATTTAATCCCAAATACGCGGCTTGCTTATTGTCCAGCATCATCGGCTTATCTATATGGTTGTCGCCATTCAAAACTAGATAAAATGTTCGATCTTTATCGATTTCTATTTCATGTTTTAATCGATCAATCATCAGTTGATTCATGTCAAGTCCAAGATGAAAATGAACATGATAATGATCTAGACTGGCAGAAACGTGTTCCTAAACTAACATTTTTACGTAAGTTTTTACAAGTCATGCAGCTTATAGGTACAAAATTAATCGATTAAATGTTTTTTTTTCTTTCTTAAAAAATAATTGCCTTTTCGCAATAAAAGAAGCAAGTTTTTCTCCATTAGACATATTGCCCTATATTCCTTTGTCTGTATATCGAAATCTGGTCACCATACGATTCGAAATACCTGAACTTGATTCCTATTTGAATGATCCAAGTAAGCGACATCTAATGTTGCAAGAAATTCCACCCGTCATGCGATCTCATCTATTACATAATCGTCGCTCACCACTCGATATACAGGAATCATTACAGTCATTACATCAAATGGGTCTCATAAATTTATTGCTTTCCGACGATAAAGCTCAACAATTTGATAAAAAATTCATACATCGATTTCGTTATCGATTAAACAGATTTATATTGGTCAGAAAATATCAGTTTTTGGAACAAGATATCGATACAATGGCGGATGAAGAACCAACAATGGTTGAATATTATTTTAATAAAATAGCCGATTTCGATCGTTTTGTCGATGTTGTATACGATCATTTGTGTCAACAACCCCTAAAACCTTGTAATAAATGTTTATTTGATGATGGACGAATTGATATCCATGCTTTGTATAATCCTCAATCATCAAAACATCATAGACTAGCATTAGAACGACAAAATATTCGCGAACAACAATCACATAAACGTAAACGAAAACAAGATTTGCGTCCATTGAAAAATAAACGAATAAAAGTTCAGGTAATGATTGATGGGAAACCAGTTGAAAGAATTCGGAAAAAAGTTATCGATACAGTTGATGAACAACAAATGGAAGTAGCAGATTCATTACGAATTCAATGGTCACGTGAAGAAGATCGTTTTATTCTTCGTTGTCGGCTATTGTCCGAATTACTGGACGTACCTTATACACGTCGATTTATTATACATTCACAGAAAATTAGTGATTTAATGCTTCAATATTGTGGTCCACAATCAAAAGATAAAACGGCAGGTGCATGTATTCGACGTATTGTACGGCTGATTAGTCAACCACACATCAAACGAATATTATCCATATGCAAAATGGAATTGGTTTCAAATCTAACTTGTCTTCATTCGGATTCGGATGAAAATCAACAGAAAAGTTGTGAAAAAGATCGATTCATACGCTTTTTACCCGAAATTATGTCCTATAAATTTCGTAATACTGAATATTTTATGACCAAAGATGATATTCGATCACAATCACAAACACAATTCGATATTCATTTTGATGAACAAATTACAATCGAAGAACTATTATCTCGTTATGATATTATCGATCCGGAAAGTGATGAAAGTAAAGATTATTATCTTGATCCAAAAAATTATTATGATATTCATGGTTATGTTATTACTAATGTTTTGATATCATCATTATTTTCATTTCATATTCATCATCATCGTGAACCATTACGAAACAAAGATGAACAATTATTTTTTCAACGTTTACAACCAAAATCAAAATATCTACGAAGATTCTATTTACGAACAATATTTCGTGCAGCATTACGTCGTTATCCGGAAACATTAATGAAATTAATTCTTAAACGTTTAGTACGATATCGTTTATTGAGTAATAATAAAAAACTTAAAGGCAATGATCGAAGATTATTTCCATGTGGATATAAATTAGCACAACAATTTTATCGGCCATTATTGGTTAATCATCGAAATTATCAACTCAAAGTTGAATGTCAACAACATCCAACAACCAATATTACAATTGTTGAAGATAATAATACTTTTGTCGGTTCTATGCAATTTGCTGAAAATCTTTGCATTAATACTCTTAGTTTAAATGATCCACAAGCTGTATCATTATCATCATCATCATCGATACAATTGACAAAAGATATTAATCAATGGCAATTTGGTGATCTATTGCCACCACGTTTATTAGAAACGATTGATTTTCATATCGAAATTCCTGATAATTTTATTGCCTTTACTCGTGGATCGATTGATCAAAGTCGATTACCAGCTAAAACTAATGCTAGAGGTATGCTTATGATGAATCGTTCATCAAATCAATCGATGCAATCAACAACAGAAAATAAAGAAACAGTATCATCATCATCATCATCATTGATCGATGAAATGTCAGTGATTCATTGTCGTGTAAAGATTGAACAAAAATCGGCTAATCCACCGGTCAATCGTATTATATTATTCGAAAAATTTCTTTATCGATTCACTATTCAATCACAAATATTTGATGAACAAGATATTCCATTAAGATCAATGATGAAGCCAGATGAATCGATTCCATTGAATCTTATAAAACGATATGAAGAAAATGTTTGTACCATTTTAAATATGAACGAACATCATTCTAATCTTAAAGATTTATTACAATTTATACGATCAAAAAAAGAATTGGGTGCCAATTTCATTCAGATTAACAATTTTTTATCAATAACTGATGATGCTTTGGAAAAAGAGATACTCATCGATTTTCTTTATGAATGTCAAAAACATAAATTATTGTTTGCCGTGGGCGTACGAACATTAACCTGGGTACATTGTGATCATATTCGTTTCTGGTTGGTAAGATCATTTCGTAATCTAGATTTTAATGTAGATCGTCTAATCGCATTGGACCGATGTCAATTGAAACATTTAAAAAAATGTTATTTTCTACCACGTATGTGGAAATATCCAGATGGTCATGTTGATGTACGAACATTATTCGTTTTTTTAAGTGCCATAATCGATTATCTGGCTACCGATTCGAATGCATCAATTGGAGCGAATGTTTCACAATTGGAAAATCATTTTCAACGACATTTACCGCCTGTTCAATTGCAAGAACTTTTGGATGCTTTAGTTTTTATTGATTGTATTCGAAAATCATCACCATTATCTTCGACGATGACAACAACAAATCAACCTAAAATCAATTCTATTAATACTTTGGATGATTTTTTTCGTCCAAATCGATCACCATCATCATCATTGTTAATAACCAACAACATAAAAAATGACATAATGTATGAATCAAATATTGATGCTTATTCTCGTCTTACATCATTATATCAGATAATGATACGACTATATCCACCATTTCCACAGGATGATTTTTGATTATTTCCGTTATTAGAATGACATATGGAAATGTGGATGTTGGGTGCGTTTTTTTTGCTTTGATTGTAAAATAACAATAATGATGTAACAAAAATAATATTGATAATAATAATGAATAAAATATAAAAATAAAAAGTTTGACAATTTCAAAGTTCAGGTGAAATTCATTAATCATTTTTTTTCTCTCCCATTGGTGGTTGACAAAAAAAAAGAACCAAGCTACCGGTCATTTTGTTTTTTGTTTGTATGATGAAGGTTACCTTTTTTTTCCTGTTTCTTGTTGTTCATTGTCAACAAGGTCATCAATGATTGATGATTTGTTTGTTCACGATTATTACAAACAATTGTCCTCGGCTAAAATCTGTCTGATCCGAAAGACCCAACATAACCGATGGTGACGGTATTGATCGGACAAATATTTTCGATGGTTGTAGTGGTTTGCTGTGTTGTTGCTGCTATTTTATGCAGTGATTGTATTGTATACTGACCAGTCCCCCAATTATCGTAGTGATTCGGAAAAAAAAAACAAAATTCATCATCATTTTCGATTTCGTTTGTTCGATTCAATATGTAATACCGAAAAATATTTTGAATTTCGGCCAAAAAAAAAACATTGATCAATCTGTATTTTGTGATTGATGATGATGATGATGATGGTCATAGATGGATATATGGTAAATAATCATCGATTTCAGTCAATTCTATTCGAAATTTGTGAGATAAAAAGTGAAAAAAATACACACACCACACATATATAATAATAATTTTCAAATCAAGACTAACCTTTATTTTAAAAGGGGGAAGTAAAATTATTTTCTTAAAAATACGTAAACATATTACACAAGTAGCTTACCTTTGCCAAGTTTGTGTGTGTGTGTTCGTTCGTTTGACCAAATGCTGAAAGAGAAAGTAAATATCTAAATATGCCATATGGTCACATGTATTTGACCATTCAATATTTACCCGAAACTTTTTTTTTCAAACAAATTGAGGTCATAACATTAATAATAATGATGATTATTTTATTTTATTTTTTTTTCATCATCAATTTGATCATCACGGCTATAAGACAAAAATCTGTCATTTTTTTTCATTACACTGTATGAATTTGGCAATCAGATAAAATGGATTTTTAAAAAATGAATGAATCGTTGATAATGATGAAGATGATAAATATTCTACTGATCAGCTATTGATCATAGCTCAGAGGCGATTTATTATTTAATTAAAAAAAAACAGAATCAGAATCAGAATGAATTTTTTTTTCGTTTGCTGTCGTTTTTTTGGACGCCTTCTGAGCTACAATCAAAAGGCGACAGCAGAAAGATATTTTTTTTGAATGTTGTTGATTAATTTGTAAATTAATTAATTAATTAATGATTGATTGATTGATTGACCAAATAATTAAATGATGATGGTCACTGAAAAAAAAACAGAACAGAACAAAACACACAAAATACAAATCAGCAGCAGAAGGAACTAGGGAAACTATGGATGAAAAACCAAAAAGAAAATTAGTAAATCGGCAAAAAATGAGTTTGAATTTTTTTTTCAAAATTTTAAAAGATTTGTTTATCATTTTTTTTTCATTCAAGAAATTCATTGAAAATTTAGTTGAAAAAGTAGAAACCATCATTCATGTTCATTGACTATCGATGCTAGTGTATTCGAATATAGCGATGTTTAGTTAGGAGATCCAATTGGATCGAGATTTGGATGCATCCCAATCATAGAAAAAAAACAGTAGTAGCAGTAGTAGCAAATGATGGAGGTAGTGTGTTGTGGATACAAGTCACATCACTGAGATAAACTGAAAATTGGAAAACAAAAAAAGCAGAAAAACAGAAAAACCAAACCTTATGGTATAAGGATTGGTGATTGGTGTGATGTTTGTTCAAAAAAACCCAATATATTCAAGTTGTAGGAAACATTTTTCTATTTCATTTACAAATTCGGGCATTTTTTCTTTCTTTTATTCTGTTCATTTGTTTGTTTGTTTGTGTGTTTGATTCCATTATGATTCATCAAATTCATTTTTTTTTCTTGAATGACCACTTCCTTCATTATTATCAGAATTCTCACCACTCCCCAAAATTGATGTTTTGTTGTTGCTGATGCTATACCATATGAAGCCGCATCCAAAATAAAAAACACATCCAATAGGTCCAATGGAAATCGAGAATATAGCAGCGCATTTTTAGGGATTCTGATTTATATAGTTTGCATCATTCATTCATTCAATACTGCTTCCAATTTCTGAATTCATTCTTAGGCACACACACCATATATACATTGTCCAGTGGCCGCATCCAAAATATTTTTTCATTTTTTCGTTGTGATGTTTGTTCATTGTGTGTGTGTATGTTTGTGAATGTTTGCATACCGGAACTGGACTTGATTCGAATGTATTTTTCGTTTTGTTTTGTTTTTAGATTTGAATCGAAATCGGACTGGACCAAACAAAATAATGATGATGATGATGATGATGAAAAATCTAGCTTTTGCTTGGTAACCACACACACACACACAAACAAACACGCAAAACGTTTATCACAAAAATGATTGTCGATTTTGATTCAACAATATTCTTCATTATGATTATATGTCAAGAGAAAAAAAAATAATTCTGAATTCTGTGAATCCAGAATAGTACGTATATAGCGGAGAGAAGGAAAAACCAATCTGAATTAATAGTAAAATTGTATTGATTTGTTTGGGAAATTTTCCCGAAAATAAAACTAAACTTTCATTTCGATTCCTTTCGCATATATTTTATAAACTTACCCGAAAAAAAATTTATTGCATCGAAAATTTTCATTTTACGATTAATCAAATTTTATAGATTTGTTATCGATTTTAATTTAAAAAAAAATTCACAGTTGCACTCACACATACACAGGTTGTTGAAATTTAAAAAAAACCAAGTCGAAAAAGTTTTTACCTTTCTGGTTTGAAAGCTGAAACAGAAATGAAATGACACTCTATCTTGGTGTGTGTGTGTGTGTGTTGAGTATGTTTCAATGATCCTGAAATCTTTGGTTTTTCTTTGGATCTTTTTCTTTGATTATGGTGGGTCCGTTCGTCCGTACATACCTGACTTTTGCAAATCGTCTGACAAATATCCACCATTACTGGTCTCTCTTCGGGTGTATGTGGTCCGCCTCATTTTTCTGTATGCATTTAGTTATGCAATAACCGAAGAAATTTTCTTTGAAAAAAAATCAATTCATGGGAAAAAAGAAAGAAAGAAATCTTTTACAATATCAAAATGATGATGATGATGAGGAAATCTACCTTGACCCTGGAACTTTTACCTTTGATTTGCACTTTTGTTTTTCGTTTGCAGAACGTTTTGTTCCGAGATAACAAAAAAAATCGATCCAACATCATCTATGTGATGTGTGTGTGTGGGAAAATTATTTATCCGACAAACTTTGTCCATTGCATTATCGTATGATGCAAAACAACAACGATGAACAAATATCCGAATCTACACAATGGCCATCATCATTACTATCGATACCGTTAAAAAAAACATCTTGGCCTTGAAAAGTATTTTGAACATTACCGGTCGTCATCGTTTTTTTTTGTTGTTGTCTGAATTTTCAAAGAAACTGAAACAAAAAACCGAAAAATAAAACAATTTCCAAGGTCGGACAAAATGTGTGGTTTCTTCTTTTATTGACATTTCAACATTTTTGGATTTCTTTTGCATCGATTTTGTTTCAGAAAATTTTCTCACACTTGAAATTTTTTTTTTGTTGTTTTCTTTTAATTTCCTAAAATCTTACATCACCTGCATCACATGTACAATGAAATCCCTAGTCCCGGGATGTGGTGTGTTTTTGTTTGGAAAAAAATGAAGTTTTTTTTCTTGAAAAATGAAAAATTTCAATGTCGAGGTCTTTGTGTGGATTATCGTTTGCACTTTGTTTGGTTTCTAATGAAAAAAAGAATTCAGAATTCAAATTATCATTATGGCTGGATTTTTTTATCGGTTAGAAAATGAAATTAAAAATTTTTTCTTTAAAAGATTTACAACAACGAATCGGTTGAATTCGTAATATGAAATCAAAATTTCATAATAACAAAGGATTTTCCCAGGTCGAAAAAAAAATGAAAAACAGATTTCAAAAAAAAAAATTGAAAACATCCCAAATGATCGAATTGATTTCTTGGAATTTCGTTTGTTTTTTTAAAAAAAATTTAATATGATTTTGGATTATTTGAAACAATAGTCAAATCAACATTTATTGTCGTTATTTGTTGAAGCCAATCACTAATTGGAATACGAAAAATGAATGTCAAATATAATTTCGATTGGCTGTTGTTATTGTTGTTGTTGTTGGCCATTTAATTACATGTTGAAACAATTGAAATTTTTCCTGTTTTAAAAATGTTATTGAAATTCATTCGAATTTTCGAATTTTTATTCATTTCTTGTCATTGATTGATTTTCGGTTGAATTGTGAAAGATTTTCATAAATTTTTTATTTGTAGTTATCATTAAATAAATGTCCGAATATAAAATGATAAAATTTTCAACAATAATCTATTGTTGGCTAATATTGATGGCCACCATCAATATGGTCAATATGGCAACAATAACATTGGATCTTGATGAACAACAATGTTTTCATGAACATTACATTGATCAGAACAGGACTGATATTACAGTAAAATTATCGATCATATTCGATGTGATTGCCGGCGGTTTTAATGATATAAATTTTCATCTGAAAAACATTCAAACAGGTAATAATATATGTCGAAGATCTGGAATATCTTATGAACGATTATTTATTGCTTTAAATGATCCTGGTACATATGAATATTGTTTCGATAATGATGGTCAATCGGTATCACAATCAATAAAATGGATTCGTTTTAATGTGATTCTTTCAACCAATTATCTGAATGCACAAAATCAAACATACAATGTTGTTGATCAAGATGATGAAAAACAAAAACTTATTGGATTGAATCAACAGCTTTATATGATTAAATATGAAGCAGAAATACAACGTTTTTCATTAATTGTTCATCATGAAATTAATGAATATACTAATTATATGTTAACAGTTTGGAGTGCATTCGAATCATCAATCATTGTTTTGATTGTTGTTGGACAAGTTTATTATCTAAAACATTTTTTTGAAACTAAAAGAATTTTATAATTTTAAAAAAATAAAAAATAAAATCTATTAAAATTTTTTCAATTCAATTCATTCAATCTATCATCAGATGGCAATGGTAATAATTGTAATTGTAAACATCGATTCCTAGATGGCTTTAGTTATGAAAAAAAAAATTATATTGATTTAAAGAATGTCTGTTGTTTTGTGTGTGTGTGTGTATAACCAGGGCATTCTCTCTTTCAACATTCTGTTCAAATGTTTCAAGGTTGTTGTCTCTGTTCTGTTCTGTATAAAGTGTTCGTATTTCAATAACATAACAAAAAAAAAAATTTGGTGCAAACACAAACTATTCCGAAAAACATATGAAAAGAAAGAAATATTCTTATTATTATTTGTAGTTTACACACAAAGTAATCATTTTATAAACAACTGATAAACATTTTTATTTGATTCGTAATCATATCATTATTTAAAACAAAAACTACATAAGGGGTAAATATTTTATGATAATTGTTGTTATTATTTGAAAATTACAGATTTGAATGTGCCAAGTTTTTGTTTGTTAAAGTGCCGACTCAAGGAAATGAATGAATAAAAGAAAATCATTCAATTACTAATCAATCAATGATGATGATGATAATATTTGATATTAGATCAAAAGTAAAAGACCGTGATGGCCATCAAATTGATTGATTGATTGATTTAATTAGCTAGCAATTTTTTCATTTTTGTTTTTTTATATCCTAATCATTCGATAATTATTTATTCATTTCATTTCATTTCAGTCCAGAGACGACTAGAGATATTTAAATCATTCTCAATTCATATTTTGAATACATTTCATTTCTTGAAACACTTATTTATTGAGAAAATTATTTTGAAAAAAAAACAATGACGGTCGTTGCTGAAAACAATAATAATGATCAACAAAATAAACAGCAACCTAAACAACCTTCACCTCCACCATCAACGCCATCTGTATCGCAATCAAATCTTCAATCACCGCAACAAGCACAACCACCATTACATCCGCCACAAAGAAAAATATCTACAAGTAGCGGTGCAAAACCATTTCCTATTCGGGGTTAGTTGATTATTATAATTTTAAATCACAATATAGCAAATTATTTGATTGATTGATTAGGTGATCGAACGACTACCTATGTAAATATACCGCATGTTATTGCAATGGTGGGCCTTCCGGCTCGTGGCAAAACATATATTGGAAAAAAATTGACCCGTTATATGAATTGGATCGGTATCAAAACACGTGTATTCAATGTTGGTGAATACAGGCGTCAGGCTACGAAATTATATCGTAATCATGATTTTTTTCGTCCTGATAATAAAGATGCACAAGTTATTCGAAGGTAAACTTGATCAAATATGAATGTGATAACAATTTTTTAAAATGAAAAAATTTCAATAGTCAATGCGCGTTAGCCGCACTCAAAGATATGTGTATGTGGCTTGAAGATGGTAATGGTGAATTAGCCGTTTATGATGCAACAAATACAACATTCGAACGTCGAGAATTGATCAATGAATTTGTTGTCGAAAAATATGGATTCAAATTATTCTTTGTCGAATCCTATTGTAATGATCCGCAAATCATTGAAGCCAATGTCAAGGTTTGTTTAACTCGCAAAGCATTTTAACATTTAAAAAAAACATATTTTTTTTCACTCTAAAGGAAGTAAAAGTTCATAGCCCAGATTATCGTGATATGAGTCAGGATGAAGCGCTTCGTGATTTTATGGTACGAATTTCGCATTATGAACAAGTATATGAACCATTATGTGAAGAACGTGAAAAACAGCTATCATTCATGCGAATATTTAATGCCGGTGAACGTGTACTTGTTCATCGACATGAAGGTCATATTCAATCACGAGTGGTTTATTATCTAATGAATATTCATATAACTCCACGATCAATTTATCTTACAAGACATGGTGAATCTGTTTATAATCTATTGGGTCGAATTGGTGGTGATGCTGAACTATCGGAACGTGGTTGGGAATATTCACGTGCATTGGCACAATATATCCATGAACAGGCTATACCACGTCTTCGTGTATGGACATCACAATTAAAACGTACATGTCAAACATCGGAATTGATACAGGCACCACAAGAACGATGGAAAGCATTGAATGAAATTGATGCCGGTATCTGTGAAGAGATGACCTACGAAGAAATTCAGCAAAAATATCCAGAAGAATTTGCCCTTCGTGATCAAAATAAATTCCATTATCGATATCCAAAAGGAGAGGTATATCCTTTATTTATATTTATTTGAAAGATGTGTTAATTATTATATATTCAGTCATATGAAGATTTGGTTGCACGATTAGAACCAGTTATAATGGAATTGGAACGACAAGAAAACGTATTGGTTGTTGCTCATCAAGCCGTTATACGTTGTTTATTGGCATATTTTCTTGATAAACCACAAGGTAAGTGTTGTCGATTACGACTAAGATATCCTCAAATATCATACATGAATGATTATGATAATAAATGAATGGATAGATTGGATGAATGTAAATTACTCTATCTCTCGGTGTATGACGGAATGACAATTAGTTAACAACCAAAAAAAAAAGTAATAAAATTATCAACGAACGATAGCATGTTTCATATTGATCCCTTCATGACCTATGCATGTTTAAGAATTTAATAAATTTAACCAAACCTTATCCACTTTTATTAGGACAGACTAAAATCTAAAAAATGTTCATTTATAGAATCTAATCAATTTTTTTCGATTCTATTCTTTCTATTCTTTTTTTTCCTCTGTGCTTTTCCAAATTATCAAATCAAATTTAATATTTTACGTTGTTGTTGTTGTTGTTGTTTGTTCATATCTGTCACTCTCATATAATTGTTATTGTCTCTCACTATATGTTTTTTTTGTTTGTCATTTTGGTCATTGGTCACTTTGTCAATGTATTTGTCCATCAATTCAATCAATCAATGTTATGTTTGCATCGTAAATTTTATCACATTATGATGATGGTGGTGGTGGTGATGGTTATTGGGGGCAAAAAAAATATCAATATTTCGGGAAATCAGATGAAATGCCATACATAAATGTACCACTTCATACAATTATCAAATTAACACCATTAGCATATGGTTGCCAATGTGAAGAGATTATTGTACCTGTTGCAGCTGTTAAAGATCATGATATTGTTTGATTGATCAATTTTGATGATGATAAAATATCTATGACTGACTGAAAATTCAAATTGATACAAAAAAAAACAGCAACAGCTTCATTCGTTCGTTCATTCATTCATTCATTTGTATGTGTGTGTGTGTTTTGTGTTGTCATCAAATTGTTATTCCGGATTACTCCAAAATTTTTTTTTATTATTTATAATTTTAATTTCCATCCCATTTTTTAAAAATTTTATTTATGATTTTAAATTAAAAAAAAGAAAGAAAATACTTCAACATATCTTATGTTAATAATTTATTTCGTTTTTTTTTTTGATAAATTTTTTATTTTAATTTTTTATTTTCGATGACCTTGCCAGAGGAATTACCCTATCTAAAAGTACCATTACATACAATTATGAAATTAACACCGGTTGCATATGGTTGTGAATTGGAAGAGATTAAAGTACCGATACCGGCTGTCAATACACATCGTGAAAAACCAATGGTAAGTTTATTATTATAAAACAAATGAATCAATCAATCAATCAATCAATGGATTGCCCTTTACTTGAAAAGAAAAATTGAAATAAACATCATACACTCACACACACATAAACTATACACATCTTTTTTTCCCCTTTTTTTTTGTTCCGGTTATTTTGTTTCCGGTTTTCTATATGTTTCTAATTCTTTTTGTCTTTTCTTTGTCTATTCCTGTTTTGTCTATGTGCATCTTATTTATGTTTATTACTAACTTTCTCTGTCTATGTCTCTCTATCACTGTGTTTCTGTTGTCGTCAAAAAAAAAAAAAAAAATTGTCGATAAATCAATGGGGGGGGGAAAGGATGGGGGGGGCGACAACTGCATTTGGNTTATTTATGTTTATTACTAACTTTCTCTGTCTATGTCTCTCTATCACTGTGTTTCTGTTGTCGGCAAAAAAAAAAAAAAAAATTGTCGATAAATCAATGTGGGTGTGGTGTGATGGTGGCGGCGACAACTGCATTTGGTAATCATTTTCAATCAATCAATCAATCAATAGTCATTGATAAAGAAACAATCAAAAGAATCGGCCGAGGATAATAGCCCTACATATTATTATCAACTAATTATGAAACAACATGAAAAAGATCAACTACCAACATTCGAAATATCACCACCACAACCAAGTAAATGTATTTCGGTTTATGATATTAGAAAAATGTCATTACAAACATTTTTAATGGCCAATAAAATTGAAGAGGAAAATAAGAATGATAATGATGATGATTCAGCAGAAAGCAGCCACCAATTCACCATTTAAATAATACTTCGAATTTACTTTTGTTAATTTTTTTTTGTTTGTGTTATTCTTTCTGTGTAACATCGATCATCATCATATATACACCTTCCCAAAATATCTTTACAAAACCATCGCTACAGTCACGCACAATAATAATAAAAAAAAACAGCGTTAAGCATCCTAACCCGTATAGTGTTAGATAGTGCCTTATTTAACAAGGACTGCAGCGTATCAAAGATAGAAATTAGATAACAAACATCAGGTGATCATATTGATTGATCAAATTATTCGATGATATGTACTCATCATTTTGTGTTTGAAAAAAAATATGAATTAAAGAGGGTGGCTACTATACAACAAGATTTTAATAATGGACGATCACGATCATCATCATTAATATCATCATCATCTGGTCCACATTCACCAATCACATTACATGGTAGTAATAATGGATTGGGTAAAAAATTTCGTTTCATTATGGATCGACAATCAAAAGAACAACAACAACAACAACAAAATAATTTTGATTCAATTAATCATCATTTGGAACGTATTGATGATGATGAACAACATGAAAAGGACAAAGAATGGTTTACACCATATCGATCACCACCAACAACAGCATCAATTGATGGTATTCCTGATCTAATAATTAGTAATGAAAAAAATGTCTTAATTTCTACAGAATTCAAATCAAACAGTGATAATGATGATGGTGACGGTAATGATGATGATGATAATGATGATGATGATAGATTATCATCACTTAGTTCATCATTACCAACTTTAAATCGTCTAAATATAATGATGGAATATAATCGTTATCGTAAAATTAGTGCACCATCATCATCATTTACATTTAATCGTACAACACAACAATTTCATCTAAAACAATTACGACAGATTCTTGGTTCTGAATATTTTGATTTTTGATTTTTGTTGTTTTTTTTTCTTCTTTTTCTTTAATCTCTATATGCGTTTGTTTGTTTGTTTGTTTTTTTTTCTCTCGCTTATGCAAAAAAAAACAAACAAAAAATCTGATCTGATCTGATCTTTTTTTCTATTATTTTTTCTATAAAAAAACAATTTTTCTATTTTGAATCTATCCTGTCTTTAAAAAAAAATCAATTATTATTTTGTCCTATCTGATCGATAATAATAATAATAATAATAATACATGTCATTTGGTGACAAACAAAAAATTCTCTAATTCTGGCAACTACTCATATATTTTTTTAAATGCAGAATTGTCTACTGAATCGTGATCCATTGGAAGCATTACATACTGTACCTGAACATCTTTAGGTTAAATTTTTTATTTCAATTCAATTCAATTATTATTATTTCAAAATGCAAAATTTCAACGTAATGATTCTGAAGAACAAACCCGGCAACCAAAAAAAAAAAAATTTTACACTTGTTTCTTTTCTTTTTTTTAAAAATCTAAATGGTCAATTAGTTTTTATTATTATTTAGTTTTTTTTACCTATTAATTAAAATAAAATAAATTTTTTTTTAAACAAACAATGATTCAATTCAATAAAACTTCAATCAATGATATCATTTCTATGGTAATTATCAATTTCGTTTGAATTTCGTTTTGTTTTTCGATTTTTCAATCATTCGAAAATATCATTCGATTTCTAGCAGCATTTACATATGTATATCTATGGTGGGTGCGATCCAAATAAGGTAGGAGTATAGTTGTATGGGGTAATGTATGTAGAAAAAAAATAACAGAAAAAAAACCCGGCAACAAGTTTTATCCCCAAACACAGCGAAACACGAGCTCGTTTAATTTTCATTCGATTTTTACAAATGAACAGCAATGAGGAAAAAGAAGAAAAATGAATAATAATCAATCATCGTTATCTGTAATAAAACCAAATAATTATGATGAAGAACGGCCACAATATCCGTCAATTTTTTCCGATTCAAATTTTATCAAACCAAGTCCAATTCATGTTGATATTCCACAACAATCATCAAATATTGAAATGATGCAATCATCAAATATTTCGAAAAATCGAAAATCATCACCATCATTACCTTCTTCTAATAATAATGAGTTGGTTAAAAAAAGAAAAATATCATCGATGATCAATGAAAATCAAAAAGAAAATGGTAAAAAATTATCAAAATTGAAATATGATCCATTAAAAAGTCCACGACCATTATTATCCTATGAATCATCGACATCATTTTTAAAAGGTAATAGTAAATTGTCTAATAATTCAACATTTATACGTGAAAATATTGAAAAAAGAAAAAATTTACGTTCAAAACAAGAAAAAGCTATTACAAATAAATGGAAACAAGAAAAATCAACAAAACAATCGCATTTAGTGATTGGAAAAGCATTTTCACCAACACCATATACACCTGATCGAAATGTTATGCATTCATCAAGTGAATATCGAAAAAATTACAGATCAAAAATCAACGATAATAAAATCTTTCTATTTTCATTTTTATCAATGGATCCGATCATTTTCAATGAAAATGATCAAAATTCAATCGATTCAATGGAAAAAAGTTTTATTATTAAAATTCGTAAAATGTTTAAATTATTTAACGTATCATATGAATGGGATACGATATTGAAATCCGGTATGAAATTAAAATATGAAACAATTGATTATTATAAAATGGATAATTTGGCAATGATTATTGTGAATACATTTGCACAGATTATGCAAACAATTTTTCAATCAAAACAACAACGCCAACAACAAGAATCGGAAATAAGACAGCAATCAAGTGATGCAGAAAATTCTCAATCAATGGAAATTAATTTATTAAAATTGTTGTTTAAAAATCGAATTGAAAAACAACGACAATTTATTGGTGATAATCAATTGATTGATTTTATATTGGAAAAATTTGAATGTAAACTTTCATTGGAATTGGTATTGGAAAAACATAGTTTTTTAAATTATATTGTTATTGTTAATGGATCACAAACGGATCAATTTCATTGTAAAGATGAAATTTATATGGGTTATATCGATAATGTTGAAATTGATTATCGTGATGATGGCCAATGGCTGTTATTTTCAATTATACGTTTTAAAAATGAATCAGCATTGAAATTATCTTCGGAAACAAAACAACAAATGCAATGGTATATTAAACCGTTGTTTTATTTGCGACCTTCATTACGTCTTGTTGAAACGCTTACCCATTTAGAATTAAATCGTGTTGTTTTATTACAACAAATGATCGAATTGAATTCACAATTCTGTAATTATGAAATGAAAAAAGAATTCAAAATATGTGATAATGAAAAATATAATGAACAACAATTGAATATAATTCAAGCATCATTAAATATGATAATGTTACCACATCCAACATATCGTATGCTTATGATACAAGGTCCACCTGGTACTGGTAAAACATATACAATTATTGGTATTGTTAAAAATATTTTACGATATTTGATGAAAAATCCAAAATTTACCGAAAATGGTACACGAATTCCTTCACGTATAATGATATGTGCACCAAGTAATGGTGCTATTGATGAAATTGGATTACGTTTAATATCGGAAATGAATACATTTTTTTCGGAAAAGGATAAATTATCTTTGAAAAAGGATAAATTATCACCGGAAAAGGATACATCATCTTCGAAAACGGGTGCATCATCTTCGGAGAAGGATACATCATCTTCGGAAACGGGTGCATCATCTTCGGAGAAGGATACATCATCTTCGGAAAAGCATACATCATCTTCGAATGATCGTAAATTACGAATAATACGTATTGGACAAAAACATGATATACATAAAGGAATGTTACCATATGAAATTGAAACATTAACTAATGACAATTTTATTAAATTTCAAATGGATTATTTGAATTGGATTGAAAATTGTAAAGATAAAGATGAAGAAAAAAAATTTAAGAATGGTAAAAAACGAACAAAATTACGTGATCAACTTATTTATGAAGCCGATATTATATTGACAACATTGGCTAGTAGTCAACATTCATCATTATCAATGTTTCGTTCAGATACTCCAGGGTATACTTATTCACAAAAAGCCATACGTTGTTTAATTGTTGATGAAGCATCACAATGTAGTGAACCAGAATTTTTTATGCCATTTATTTATCATTCCATAACTAAAGTGATAATGGTTGGTGATCCATTACAATTACCTGCTACTGTTATATCACGTTTGGCATATAATGCCGGTTATGGTCGATCTTTATTTGAACGTTTTTATCAATATCAATTACAACAATCAAATTCGAATGAATTTCTATCATCATCATCATCGATTATTCGTCTTACACAACAATATCGTATGCATGAAGAAATATGTAAATTTCCATCGAAACTTTTTTATGATTCATCATTACAAACAATAAAGGATAGTGGTAAGAATTCACATATTCCATTTCATCCATATTTTGTATTCAGTATTAAGGATTCAAAAGAATCTTCTTCGAATCAATCAAAATCAAATGATGCTGAAGTTATATTTATACGTAAATTATTGACTGAAATATTGAAGAAAATCGGTTATGTAGATAATTTTCATCAACCATCACCGGTATCGATCGGTATAATTACCTATTATCGTGAGCAGAAAAAAGCCATCAAAGATGGATTGGAAAAAGAATTTCCCGAAGATTTGGTAAAACAAATCCAAATTGATACGGTCGATTCTTTTCAAGGACGTGAATGTGATATCATTATTTTGTCCTGTGTTCGAGCTATCGCTACAAATAATCCAAAAGGATCGATCGGTTTTGTTCGTGATCAACAACGAATGAATGTAGCATTAACACGTGCAAGATCATCATTATTTATTTGTTTACATTTTGAATCATTTGAAAATGTTCATCGATGGAAACAATTAATTGAGGATGCAAATAAGCGTAAGCGATTATTTTTTGTTAGTTCAAAAATTTTTAATAATAAATTAGAGGTATGCTTATAATTATTTTACTTTTTTTTATATAAAAAAATTAATATAAAAATTGATTTTTCGTTTCAATTAGCTTTTCCTGAAATAACCAAAGATCATCATCATTATTTCTATGGGACAATAAATTTAAATTAACAATTTATATCAAAGACAGATGAATTTTCTATTTTTTTTCTTTCTTTTTAAAAAAAAAATTTATTAAAAAAACATTTTCGAGTTAAAATTGTCTATTTTTCTATTTAATAAAAACTTTTTCTCTGTTTATTGTCGGACGAATGTTTTTTTTTTCTCATTGAATGGTGAAGGGGAGCAGCTAAACAAGTTTATATTGTAAGTTGATGAAGATGATGCAACTAGGTCATCACCGAATGTTTGCGTGTTCTTTTCTCTGAGCCAGCCAACAACTTGTTGAATATTTCGTATAGAAAGATCATGATGATTGTGATGACATAATCAACATCTTTAAATTGATGTTTTTTTTGTTGTTTTTTTCACAACCGAATCGGAATCGGAATCAACATTATGAATGAAAGTGTGGTGAATGAATATCAACAAGTGATTCAACTTTGATAAAAGAATTTCAATAGTATGATACAATAGCCATATATTTAAATAACACCATAATGATGAATGTTTCAATCATATCAATATGGCTTGTTGTTGTTTCGATCTTGATGATTGTTGATGGCCAAATAACTAATTATCTGGATTATAAAGGTGCATATATTGGAAAACTTAATTCCTATGCTCATCAAATATATGGTGAACTTTATGCTATCGATGAACGTACTATATTGATTAAAGATTTTTTCTATGATGGTCTTGCATCTGGTAAGTGATTATTGATCATAAGATAAGATACTTTGATATTTAATGATTTTTCTTTTCATAGATGCATATTTCTGGGTCGGTGCCACTATATTACCAAGTAATGTTGGTTTTATCGTACCCGATGAAACAGGTAGAACAAATAAATTACGACAATATATTAATCGTAGTATAAGAATACGATTACCTGATGATAAAACAATACATACGATACGTTGGTTTGCAATATGGGATATTCGTTCGCAGAAAAATTTTGCTGATCTTTTCATACCGGAAGGATTTCTACCACCAACACCGCAAACGATAGCTGAATTTTCACAACTTTCGAATGGAATCAAATCCGAACCAATAGTTATTGTGGATGCTAAAACCATACGAATACCATCTTTTACATATGATGGACATCGTAAACAAGCCTATTTCTGGGTAGGTCAAGGACCGCAACCAAATTCAGCTGGTGAACGAATACCGAATGAACTTGGATATTTAGAGCCATTAGGACCATATCGTGATGATTTAGTCATTCTTGAATTGCCCGGAAATATGACCATATTTGATATAAACTATATTTCTGTTTGGGATCAAGAATTGTCCGAAAATCTAGGTTCGGTTATTATACCTGCCGAATTGAATATACCACCAGCATTAACAACAGTGATCAAAGTTGAATCTCGTTTACCGAATTGTGAACAACTTCATCAACGATTACAAGTTAATTGGGAAGTATTCGGACCACAGATTACAATCGAATTGATTGGCCAACTGAAAAAAGATGATTATATGGCATTCGGCATTTCTGGATCGGATAATTCAAGTCGTATGATTGGTTCAGATATTGCCATCGCATATATGGAAACGCATCTTGGTTTTACACGTGATTATAACATTACTGGTGCCTTTCCCTGTACAAATGTATTGGGTCATTATCAAGGTGTTTGTCCAGATGAAAAAGTAGGCGGTGTAGATAATTATCAAGTAAATCTTTTCGAACGACAAGATTCATTAACACGAATAACCTATCGACGTAATCTACAAAATGTTGGCGATGAAGGTGATCGAACTCTTGATAAATCTAAAGCTACGTTTATTGTATGGGCTATTGGAAAATTAACACAAACAACTATAAAACACCCAGGCTTTCATCATATTTATCCAAAACATGATAAATCGATTGTGTTTGGCCGAAAATCTGAACGTAATTGTTTTCATTTTACAACACCACGATCCGATCTATTTGAACAGCAGCAACAATTATCTAATACTCCGATTTCAACACAAACTTCATCGTTGATCACTAAACCATGGGGTCCATTACGATTATTAAATCGTACTATGACTACATTCTATGCACGATTAGGCGATTCTGGTGGTCTTCGTGGTTATTATGGTTCGACCGGTCAAGCATCACCTAATCTTGTATGGTATATGAATGGAATGTTGGCACCGATTCTTTATGTAAAACGTGGCCGTACCTATACATTTCGAGTGGAAGGTGGAAACAATCCACAACAGGCTGAACTATATAATCCATTGTACATAACAAATGATCCACATGGTGGTTATACAGAATTGACCGAAACCGAACGAAAACGATTCAATGTTTATGCTGGTGTTGAATTTGATCGTCGCGGTAGACCTAGTCCTACATCAGCAGGCCGATTATGTGTATGGCGTATACCGTCATTAAACGAAACATCGGATGAAAATGATAATAATTTTTATTTTGATAAACGTCGTGCCGATACAAATCGTTTTGCAAATTTTATTCAATATCGTAATCGTTTACAATTCTATTGTGATTCATCAACTAGTGCACAAATTTTACAATGGACACCGAATGCAAGTGTACCAGATATTGTTTATTATCAATCATATACACATCGTAATATGGGCAATCGTATTATTGTTGTCGATGATTTTTATAGTTCAAATAATAATTTTGTATCTGCATCAACTATAATGACATCATCAACTGTATCATTGATATTAAACAATAACATTATCATATTATTATTATTAATCAATTATTATTGTATGTAAATTGTATATTGAAAAAAAAACATAAATATCAACATAATGAAAAATAAATATATTATTTAAATAATCAATTGTGGCCTAACTTTAAGCTTAAAATCTTGTTTATCATCTCTTCTTATTTGAAATTCCATTTCTATTGTTGTTTTATCATTAAAATGATGATCATGTTGTAATATTTTATACACTTCTTCGGCAGTATGTACTGGCTGTCCATTGATGGCCACTATAATATCGCCGTTTTTTAATCCACCCCTATTCAATAATAGATTATGATCAAATTGAAAAGATTATTATTTAATTCTTAAAATACTTACTTATGAGCAGGTGAACCTTGAACCACTCTATAGACCATGACACCAGATCGTAAATCATCGGGTAGAAAATCGGATGAATCAGAACGACCATGACCACCATGTCGTCTATATGATTCCATTAATGGTTCGGTTAAAGTTAAGATCGTAAAACCAATATATAGTTTTGGTCTATTTGTTCCCATCGGTTCCAATCTATCAGAATGTTTATTACGATGACCATGTCGCAATGATTTACAGTGGTCGAGAAAATTTTGAGCATAAGTGGCAGGTATTGCGAATGATATACCTTCGCCAACCTTTAATGTAGTGATACCAATAGCTTCGCCTTCCAGATTCAGTAATGGACCACCACTATTACCAATGTTGATTGATGCATCAGTTTGAATATATTCGACACTATCTCGAATGCCTAAATCGCGTGCGGCTCGCGATATAGATGAAACAACTCCTACGGTTACTGTATTTGATAATGAGAAAGGTGCACCGACTGCAATTACCCATTCGCCTGGTCGAATTTTTTTCGAACCATCCAACAGTCTAATGGGCTTGAGATGGCTTACTTCAGATAACGGTACTCGAACAGTGGCTAAATCAAGTCGTTCATCAATGAATTCAACTTGGCCTTGTATACGTCGATCGTCATTGAATCGAACAACAACTTGTTGACAGTTGGCGATGACATGTGCGTTGGTTAAAATGATGCCTGATTCGTGGCCATCATCAGCAACAAGAAATCCAGAACCAGACGATACTGTCATCGTGGTCATTGGTGTGAATGGACCTGCACATCTTTGAAATGCTTCGATATAAGCTACTGAAGGAGATGCTTGTTCTACGATATCGGCTATAACATTCATTGATGAGAACGCTGACGAATTTTTATTCATCTGTGTTTGTTTCACGTGCTGCTTTTTATCATCATCATCACTAACCCATTTTTTAACTTTGTCATCAGGATTATCAGGTATTGATTTACAGAATATAGGGTGACCACCACCATCATTACTCCAAGAATGATGATTTACAGCATTCGAATCTTTTTTCCTTCGTTCATAAACATACATGGCAATGATCGATGACAAAACTATGGCCACCGCATAAATACCCGAATTTGATCCATTCCAAAATGATTCTTTTTCATTAATTGATTTTCGAACTGATTGACCATGATTCGGTTTGGAAGATTTTTGATGAAAATGAACAGCAGTTGTAATTGCTGGCAACCATTGTTTACCCGTTCCAATACGATCGAAAAATCGTAATGAATTATGGCCAACAGTGAAAAGTCGACGAGCTGCAAACAATCGATTAATAATCATGGCAATAATTATTACCACATATCGTATATCACATTCACCGAATTTATTGTTACGTTGATGACGTTTACATCACAGATCTTGAATTCAAAAAAAAACTGATTCAAAATTGCACGAAGATTGCATGGATTAAATCCAGGTAAACAAATTTCTTCTTGCCATCTATCGTTGTAAAATATAAATATTTTTTAAAAATTTTACTGAATCAAAAAAATTGAACATTTTTTTTTTTGCTTTTATACCGGAACATTGAATAAATTTATAAAAAATATATTTTTTGTGTGTGTGTTTTGAACTGGGAAACAGAGTTATAAGATTCCTTTGAGTGAGATAGATATGAAAATTCAAAATAAATTTAAAAAATCACATTGTTTTTTACAATCGCAAACGAAACAAAATAATAAATAATTGATGAATGAATAATTGGTGATCATTATTTGATAAAATCGGCAAATGAACCAACTCCAGCAGCAATATTATTATCTATTTTGTCTTTAAAATTCGTGCCGGATGTACGTTCACGTTCAAATATATCACGAAAATTAGCTATCTGTGTAATACTAAATGATAATCGGCTTACTGCATTCAAAAGACAGGTAATTTCATGATGACTTAGTCGTAATTTTTCAATATCTTTTGTCAACATTATTTTGAATGCCGTACCAAGGCCATTTGTTTGTACTTTACCCCAAAGACGACATTTGTCACAGGATACACAATCCATTATATTGAATGTTACATTATTAAATACATAGCCCAATTGTTCGGCAATTGATTGACGTTTAAATATTAATTTTTCATCAAAATGCCATCGAAATAACCTAGAAAGGATGAAAAAAAAACATTTACAAATTGCGTTTTTCAAGAATAAACACATACCTTTCAGTACTAAGCAATGCATTGATGGCATCTTTTGCCTGTACCTGATCTCCAATCAAATTCCATTGAATTTTATCCAATAAATATGGCCGGATTCGATATAATGCGCGTAATTCAATAAGATATGTCAGGAAAAGATTTTTCATATAATCATCATGACCTAATGACAATAAACAATTAATTCAATAAAATTTCAATCATAAATAATAAATATACCATGGAAACGTTTGAAAAAATCTTTTGGATTTGGACCAAAATGATTATCAAATTTGTGATGTATTGCCGTCAAATGTATAGTGATAGATGTATGTAATCCGGAGATGATACGATAGAAAAAATGTTCCTCATAACAACCAAGATTATTGTTCGTATTGATTAACGCTAAAATATTATTCTGTTGTTGTTTTTTCATCGTGAAACAATTTTCTTCATAAATGGCTCTCCATATTGGTTTACCATCATAGCCTATGTTTTGTCGTTGTTTGTGTGAATAAATTAGAAAAAAATTGATTGATTTTTGAATAGAAGTACACAAAACATACCGGTAAAACGTTCAGGATTCAATATAAGATCATAATATTGTGATTGTTCACTATCATCACGACTACATTCAAATAAACGATTCAATTCATGAACATTATTCTGCTGCAATGTTTGATCTAATTTGGATAATTCTTTTGGTGAATCGGTTGGACAATTTTCATCGAAAGCTAAAAGAAACACAAAAAAGAAATTCTTAATTTTAGAAAAAAAAACTTGATAAAAAGAACATACCAAGATATTCTTTGGGCAATTCTGATCGATCACAGAATTGAATGTTACATCCCCTACACAAAAAATTAAAAGAATAAATGATAAAGAAAAACTTAATCATTTAATTTACATTTTTGTACATGAAAATGTATCTGGCCATAATAGACAAGGTCGTTTTAGATTAAATTTAACAAATTTAAATGGATCCAATTTAACTAAAGATAATATTCGTGGTGCAAAATGATTATTATTAAATCTTGACAATTCAGTCAAATTAACAGTAATATTTTCACTGGTAATGAAATCATCTAATGTTGAATTAAGAATATTATCGATGAATCGTATCATAGAATCAGGATCATAATGATGATGATCATCTTGAATAGATTTTTTTGTTGCACTTCGCGTATGACTATGTTTTTGTTTTTTGATTCCACTTTTTATCGTTGTCGTTATAGGAATTTGTTTCTTTTGATCATTTTTGCTTTGAACTTTGAAAATTTCATCATGATAATTAATTAATAATGCACAGAATAAAATCACTAATGATATAAGTAAAAATTTCCAGGGGATTTTTGTCATTTTATCACATTTTGAAGATTTGACAGTATGATTGTTTTCAGATGATAATGACGATCCATTTTTGTTCGAATTATTATCTGTTTTTTTATCATTACCATCATCGCCACCATCATCATCATTATATGTGGCCATTGTTGTTCGGTAATTAATCAATAAATTTTTTCAGGACAAATTAATTTCAAAATAAAAACATTTGAAAATAATTTATGGATATGATTTGAATGATCACAACAATGAAAATAAAGATGATGATTATAAAGATGACTATATTTCATTTATAAATTGCTGACGCAATGATCTATTTTTTTCTACTCTTATGATAACGTGTACTTCGGTAATCGTAAGATTATTATTGTTGTTGTCATCACTACTATATTATTATTATTCGGAATACCATAATCATAATGATGATAATATTGTTGAAGTGTTTTATTAAGAATAAATAAACTGATTACATTATTTTTTTGAGAAAACAATTTCTAAAAGTTTATAAAATTTAAAAAATTTAAAAGTTTAAATGTCATCTCTGTTTGTCAGTGTTTACAGTGTGTTGGGAGTAGAATTCTATTTTTTTTTTCATTTGGTGGGAATGGTATTTTAACACAACCATTCCCGATAATGTGTATGTAGCTGATTTTTTTCGAAAATTGAGTTCTTTTTTTTTGGAATCGTGAAAATCAGAAACAAAAAAGAAATAAAAACTTTTGCGGCAATCAAATTTCTAATCCCTACAATATTTATTCCAAATATTGTCATTTTGTTCTTGTTGTTGTTGTTGTTATGGTACAATATTTGATGATCATCCAAATAGACAAAGATAACGCAAAAAAAAGAACAGAAAGAAATCAAAATCAAATAATAGTTTTTGTGTTTCATGACATTTTCCAATGAAAACAAAAAAAAACTTGTGATCATAATAAATCTTTATTTTGTCAACATTATCATCATCATCATCATCATCAAATCAGATAAAAAGAAGAAAGAATTTTCTATCTATCAACATTTTTGTTGTTGCAGAAATTAATGTAAAACACACATCATATAGAAATGAATTCAATGATAAAATTATCATCAATCAAAAGTTTTTCAAGCGAAAGTCATGTATGTTGTTGTTGTTGATGTTTTCTTTTCTATTTTTGTTTCAAGTTTATTCAGTTTTTCTGGATCGATACGATATTGTTTTTGTTTTCCTGTTTTGCCGATGAAATGCCAAAATATTCTTGATTTTTATTATTATCATTATGAAGATGATGATGATGTTTTTTTTAACATTTCCATTTTCTTCTTATTTGTTATTGTTGTTACTGTAGAAATATCCAGCTTGTAATTTATTGAAAATTGCCGACGATGATGAATCATTATCATCATCATCATCATCATCATGGAAATGTGATCAATGGTCAGATCATTGTTGGATAATAATTGAACTATCGGAATCGGCTAAAATCGATATAATTGAAATTACAAATGATTGTTCAGCATTTATTGAAATATTTTCATCAGCAATTGATGATTGGAAAAATTTCAAGGTATTCATGATAACATTTTCACTTAACCCTGAATCATTATAATTGGAAAAATCATTATAGATCTATAGAAAAGAATCTAGTAAAAAAAAATAAATGATTAGCTTCGTTAAATTTATGATTTTTTTTTTATAATGAGAATAATCTTCATAATAAAAACTAAACTATTTCAATTTTTATCGAAATTGCTTTCTTTTTTTTGCCGTTATTAACAGGTTCTGTTACCAGTATTTTCCATACTATCACCCCAAAATAGTCGTGAACTTAAATGTCCAAATGAACGATATAAATTTACAACAGAAAAATTTATGCCGACAACAAGATCATTACCATGTAAATTTATCAAATGTGTTTGTTCACAACCATATAACAAGGTATTGTTTTTTTTTTCTTTTTCACTCTCTTTTTCCGGATAAAATATTCACAATCGAAATTGTGAAAACGGAAAATTTCTAGTTTTTTTTTTTTAAAAAAAAAGGAAAATGATAATTTTTTTCATTCATGACATTTTCACCATTAGAATATCCGTTATGGTATTGAAAATATCAAAATTTATGGACAAAAATTTCAGGAAAACAAAAATGATTTAGATGGAGAAAAAAGAACACCATTATGGATGAAAAAATATCAATTTCTTGATAACAAATCGTTTATGGTTAATGATAAATATTTTCAAATGAATTTTGATCTTTCAAAATCAACATCGAACCAACATCAACAATCGAATGTTGTGAACGAGAAAAAAATCGATCACCAAATGTCGTCATCCTCATCATCGACAAAATTTGAAACTAATCGTAATAGATTACCATTAAATGATGATGATAGTAATAATAAAAATGTTAATACCATTGAACAATTATCTAAGCCATCGACATCGTCATTAAAATTGGGCAAAAAACGTCGTAATCATGATTCCGATTCGTTAATATCGAATGTCGATAATGATGATAATGATGATGATGTTGATGTTGTTCATCAACAACGTAAACAAACTGTGATGTCGAAAAAGATTAGAAAACCATTTGAAAAATTATTCGATAATGTTGTTTTTGTTATAAGTGGATATCAGAATCCAATTCGTGCAGAATTGAAACGAAAAGCAATAGAAATGGGTGCTCATTATGAACCGGAATGGAATTCAAATTGTACACATTTAATGTAAGTTATATTAAAAAAAATTGTATTCGAATAAGAAATCGATTCAATTTATTTAAAGATTTTTTTGTTGTTGTTGTTGATATTCTCAATTTATTTTGTTTCATTATTTATTTGAATGAAAAAAAAAATATCATCATAGATGTGCATTTAAAGATACACCTAAATATAATCATGTTAAACATAGTGGTGTTGGAAAAATTGTACGTGAACAATGGATTATTGATTCGTATGAACAACGTAAACGTTTATCATGTCAAAAGTAAGTCTCTTAATTGATGATAATGATAATTATTGTTTTTTCAAGCAAAATTATCGGTTCGTGGGCGAAATTTTTTATGTTTTTTTTTTCGTTACTTTATTGGATTTTTTATAATGGAAGCTATATATATTGTTTTATTTTTTTTTTCATTATTCTTTCTCTCCTTCAATTAGCTATTTATTAGAAAAATTTAATGGAAACAATGATGACAACGATAGTGATGATGATACTAACGAAAATTTCGATGACCGTAATAATAATAATGACCATATTGATGAAAATAATATTGACAGAATAAAAAAAGTTAAACAAAAATTACACAGGATATCGTACGACAACAACAATAACAATAAACAAAGTCAACAACAAAAAACTACTGTTATTACATCATCATCATCATCATCATCGGCGACGAAGACGATGAAAACAAAACCAATGACAAAAATGATGATGAATAGAAAAAATATGTTGGCAAAGGATGATGATGATGATTATGATAGCGATATTATTTATGATCTTGAAACTGAAGATGAAGACAATGATAACAACAACAAGATGAAATTAAATGAAAAGTCAAAATGAAAAAGAAAAAGAAGAATAAAAAACTATTGAACTATTGTGATGTTCATATAACTTTCTTTTAAAAGAAAACTATAATCATGTTTTTCATCATACAAAATAATAATATATGTGAAGTGGAACCCAATATATATTTTATTTAAAGCCTAAGATATATTTCTATTTGATTAATTGGCTAATAATGATTTCTCAATTCTCGAATATCATCATCATCATCATCATCATCATCATGGCGGCAAACTTAAAATCATCATCAAACAGCATTGATATATTTTTTTGAACGAAAAAAAAATTCTTTTTTTTTTGCTTGTTTTTTTCCATTTATTTCCTTATCATCTTCATCATTATTTGGATGTTTTTTTTCTTCTTCTTCTTCTTCTTGATTTATCCTCTAAACTATCAAAGTGATTGGATGTATTTTTGTTATTGATCAAAGATCCGGAAAAAATATAATATTTCAAATTTTGTTTTCGCTTTTGTATTATATATATTTTTTTGACTTTTTTTTACTTGGAATTAAAATCATTGCCATTAGTAATTACAGTGGTTATTATTTCATTTGAGAGATGAAAGAAATGAAAATGGAAATTATTGATTGGAATTTTATCCAATGATCATTTAATGATTAGTTTTTTTTAAAAGATTTAAAACAAAAAATTTCAGGCAAAAAAAAAATCAAGATTTTTTCTTCATCATTTTGTTGTTGTTGTTGTTGCTGCTGGGTTTGTTCAAAATAATGATCCGATAATTTTTTTTCTGGACCAGAAAAAAAATTATCGACTAGGCGTCCATCACCATTATCGATTCGATGATATGGTGTTTGTATTGTCATTAGTTGCGATTGGATCGATTCATCAAATCGATCAATCAAATGGATGGATGTAGAATTTTTTTTTCTCTGGTCACTATATTTTCATTATCATTATTGGATTGATCAATCGATTGACTTGATGATATTATTTTATGTATGAAATTTTTGTCAAAACAAAAACAAAAAAAAACACACACACACACAAAAGACTTTTTATTAAATGATAAAGTAACATATTGCAGATCATCATCATTATTATGATTATTATTATTTGGTTAGTTTGGAAAAAAAATATAATTGCCAAAATATGAATTCTGTCATTCTGTAAATGATATCTGGTTTGCGGTGTGTTTGATATATTTCATCTAACTAAATGATTATTCAACATTGTGTACTCAAACCTTCATTTAAGTTACATATGTTTTCTATCAACAAAAAAAAAATGTTAAAAGTCATGAAACAAAATAATGAAAATATTGTCTGATTATGATATTTGAATTTCCTTATTGCATGTAAAAAAAAAACAAAACAAATTCTTGTTGTTTGTTTGGATTGAATTTCAAGATGAAAAAAATATTCATTTATCATTGTTGTTGTTGTTTCTGGTTGTCATCTATTTAATCGATTATCATTCATTTAATTATTGATGTAAATTGATAATCAATTTCTATCGATTATTTATCACACACACACAATCTTTATTTCACCTTAAACTTTTTTTTTGATTATAAAATAAAAAATAGATAAAATTAACAATTTTTTTTATCGCCATGGTCGACTGATCGTCATCGTGTGTGTAGGTGTGTGTGACGACAAAACAAAGTAAAATTGAGATCTGTAGATATTTTTATTTCCTTGTTCATCATCAACTCAGAAAAAATACAAAAAGATACAACAAAAAATAAATAGAATAATATAGAATCGAATGAATTATCGTCGGTCAAGGTTGATCGGTTTTTATCATCAAAAACTATATCGATAGCAATTCGATAATTTTCTTTTGATTTTCGTTGTTGTTGTTGTTGTTGCTTTTGTTCGCCACCTTATTACTCAATAATATTAATTGATTTTCTTCATTCATTTTCTTGATTGTTATCAACTTTTTAATAAATATTTATTTTTTCCCATTTTATTAGAAAATCTTCTAAGATATAAACTAAATTGAAAGCAAAACAAAACAAAACAAACAAACAAAATCAATTAATGGGAAAAAATCAATTTGAGTTATCAGTGACAAACAAAAACCGAAATCATGATCATCAATGATGTAGGTGATGATGAATTGAAATTCTTGAGAGAGATTCTTAAGAAAATCTGTTAATAAGTTAAATTCAATAGCCAAAATAATGTTAAAATTGGTGGTGGTGGTGGTGTGTGTGTGTTATTCTGTTGGATTGAATTCAATGTTGTTTTTTGGGTTAAATTTTGTCTGGTTTTTTGGTTGCTTAGTTAATAGTTCTGTTGAATAAAAACCAGAAATAAAAAACACAAAGATTCTCAATTTCCAAATCTCATGATAGCCATTATTCTAATTCAAACATACAGACATTGTTATGAAGAAAGTTAGTTTTTTTTTTGCTAGAATATTCTTATAGTGGAAAATTTTATTAATGATAACCAAAAAAAGAAAAGAAAAACAACAAGCCAAATCTTTACTACTTTTTTTTTCTCTCTCTCACTCTCTTAGATTCATTTATTGCTTATAAGATTTCTTCTAATTTTTTTTTACTTCTTTTCTGTTTTTCCCAAAAATATTAATTAACCAAAGTGAAGAAAAATTGATGCTACACACTGTACATAAACATACACACACATAAACGAAATTAATTTTTTATATTATTATTCTTGAATCTTAAAAAAACACAACCGAAATTCTTACGAATATACTTTGCTGATCGAAATGTTTCTCATTTTTATGTTCTCCTTTACATAATATTGCATCATTATTTTTATGAAAATTCTAACTGGAACCAAAAAAAAATGATGATAATAATAAGCATGTTAACAACAATAGTGGTGAATTCGATGATAATAATAATGATTATGTGTAAAATGACATTTTTTCATTTTCTTCACACCAAAAAAACTTTCCTGTAATTTTTTTTCCCATAAAGTTTTTTCGGCTACAGGCATTGTCAAAAAAATTTGTCAACATTAATTTGTTCGTTAAAATGTTTGTTATAACATAAGAAAATAAGAAATTTCTGTTGTTGTTTGGTACGAATTTTTTCCTTCAGTCAAATGATGATAATAATTATATGAATTCAATTCTTTTAAACTTAAGAATCGAGCATAAAATTCTGCACCAAATTAAAAAAATAAAACCTTTCATCGATCGTAGGCATAAAAATAAACGTTTAAAAAACATATTCATAATAATAATGATGATGACGATAATGATGGATGAATTTGATTATGATTTAAACAGAATTTTTTTTCTCATTATTACCCCCCCCCCACACATTTTAAAATGATGATGATTATAATATTGTAAATTTTGTTGAATAATTAAAACATACGGATGTAGTTGGAAAATGAAAAAAAAATTCTAAAATCCATGTTAAATGATGAAAAACAGAACAGGGTTTTCTTTGCATGCAACAACAAGGAAAAAAAATTTATTAAAATTGAATTTTAATGATGTATAAATAAATATTAAAACAACCGCAACAACAATAATAATAAATTGTGAATACGCTTTTACCCCACAATTCCCCTTTAGTTGATGATGAAAATTGATTTTATCATCATCATCATCATTTGGCTGTCAGAAAAATTCTTGAATAAAAAAAAATTTGAAATTTTTTTCCATTCTTTCATTTGCTTTCTGGAAAATTCTTCATTTTGTGCAATAACAAAAAAAAGTTTCTATTTTTATAATTTATTAATGATTTTGATTGTTGTTTTTTTTTTGTTGTTATTGTTATTGTTGATGCTAACTGATTATTATTTTGTAATAATAATTTTTTTTCAGATTATAAATATGTTTTGGAATATGATAAATTCAATTCGCCTACGTACAAAATTTGTATACAAGAATAAAATAAAATAAAATATTGAAATGTCAAATTCAAGTTCTTCGTTTGAAAATAAAATAAAATTCTATCTTTTTAAGTTTTGATTATCGAATGAAATAATAATAATTTCTTGAGAATTCTTCTCCCTCTCTCTACTTCGAAATTACAAAATTACGAAAGCTTTTCACAAACCAAAAAATTTTGATAATAAAAAAATTGTGAAATTTGATTTCATTTAGGATAAAAAAAATTGAATATTTTTTTGCCCATGTATAATGGAAAAAAAATGAAATCCATTCGTTCATTTCATTTTTCATCATTAATAAATGAGATTTTTTTCTCTCTCTCTCTCTCTCATTCTCTCTTTATTTTCTCTCTCTTTTGACTTTGTTTTGATCTTGATCAACATTCAATGAATGTCAATGGAATTTTTTTTTATTTTCCTTTTTGAATTCACTGTAAATGGTAAAGAATTCTACTTGAATTACAGTCAATTTTCTTGTTTTTCTTCTTCATTTTCTTCTGCTGATGTGTGTGCTAATAATAATAATAATAATAATTCATATTTGATTTGGTTGGATTTCCCCCTCTCTCTCA